CTTATCGACAACGGTGGAAATCAGAGCCCCTATCGGGGTACATGAGGTAATCCTGCAACTTTCACACAGTCTAGCAGGCATAGGGCAGCAAACTTCACACGCCCTCATTCCACAACCAACGCAAGGAACAAGAGGGAAACCAGGCTCAGGGATCCTGTTACACTTAGTGCACCTGTCCCGTCCATCATCTCCCCTCAAGGCTTCAGGGAGAAGACCACCATCTCCCTGCCTACCGGCACCATTCACACTATAGCCGAGGCTAAGACCCGGCCCAAGGTTACCACCGCTCGCAACACTTGAGGGGTAACCCGTGGCATTGCTAGACTGACTAACGCCAGCGCCAACCCCTTGGTGACTAACGCCACCTCCGTAGGCAGGACCATAGAAACTGGAACCACACTGATTGTTCCCAATTCCATGAGTATCCGCAGCACTACCATGGAACCCGGGCGCTCCACCAGGGTAACCCCCGGTAGGAGCCCCTCCATTCGGGCCTCCAGAAGGCCCAGCGGGACCTTGGCCTCCACCATAATGCCCAGGACCTGGTGGTGGAGCTGGGGCATGTCCATGACCACCACTTCCGCTCCCACCTTGACCAGGTGGTCCGCCTTGCCCACCACCTCCCCCGGGAGGAGGAGGAGGGGGCGGTCCAGCTTGCGCGCGCTCATGCCGAATATTGCAGCGCGCACATCGCTCAAGGCCGTCACTTCCAAAGTAGCTGTGATTCTCACAGACGTGAGTCCCACAATCCGTGCAGAAATACATGGAGACCTCCTGAGCATTCTTGCGACATGCCCAGCATTTCATTTTCAAGAACTGACAATTATAACAGTCCCCGCCGTCACCACGGCAAAGCCCGCAGAACTCACGACCGCATGTCACACACGAGAATTCAGCGTTCGGGTGCCTACGGTCGTTGGGATCATCGAGGGCACAAATCTTTGGCGCGTCTGGGCCATCGCCGCCGGGAGCCCCTCTTGCAGCCGGCGCTGAGGCCTGTCCACGATCCGACGGATCTCCAGCGGTCCCTCGCCTATCGCCGGGACTCTGGGTGTCGGCGCTGGCTCTACTCCCAGGAGTCCTCCACTCATCACCAGGACTCTGGATGTCGGCATGAACCCTATTACCCCCACCACCTCCTGAATGACGACCTGGGTTCGGAGAGACGTTCCCGCTATCGCGGATTGGCCTATCAAAACTCGGAGAGACGCTCCCGCTATCGCGGATCGGCCTCTCCCCCCTCGATTGTCGACTCCGGACCTCAGATCCCCTATCGGGGACGGCAGGCCTCGGGCTCCTATTCCTACCCGCATCTCTATTGGGGGAAATAGAAACGTCCCCCCTTGCGCGCGCGCGGGGACCACCCCTTGCACGCTCCGGTGGCGAATGCGACCTGTCAGGCAACCCCCGAACCCTCCTGCTCCTGCTGTCGGACCTCTCCCTAACGGGATAGATGGGATGCCTGTCTGCGCGAGAAGGATCGACCCTATCGGGCACATTCGGCAAAACATGATCAGGCAAAACAACGCCTCCGCCTGGTCTCACCGGCAGGCCAGTACCCCGGCCGTCACCTTCCCCTGGTGTAGGCGTCGGTGACCTGATCCTATGTCCTTGCCCCGCAAATGCATGGTAACCAACATTCCGTCTTTCTCTGGGTTGTGGAGGAGCTTCATTAATCTGCTGGACACCCTGAATAATGCCAGCAGCCTCGTCAAATTGACCCTCCATCTCAAAGAGCTGGGACATGATTCTGTTGTTCGCGGCGCTAAGGTTACGCACGTTGCCATCGATAGCGCTGACTCTCCGCATAACACCTTCAAGTGTACTCCGGAATGTGCCGAGTTCTCGCCTAACGGCAGGCTGCACTTGGTCACTGCTTGCAGGAAGATTACGGATCTGTCCTTGGATGCCATCAACGACCCGATTCACAATTGCCGATCTCGCTTCATACTGTTCAACATGTGACTTCACGGTCTCAAACCTTGAAATGATGTCGTCATGATCCCGACGTTGACGTTGAATTCCTCGAGCCAGATCCTGCATCTTCCGATTGATCTCGTCAATAGCCTCATGCCAGTCCTGCGGGGAATCATGTTCTGATGGTCTATCGACCTCCTGAGAACCCCTTCCACTCTGCAGTCTCGACACTCGATTAACAAGACGAGTGTGCTCTTCTTTGATCCCTTCAATAGATTCAGAGGCCCACTTGGCAAATGTCTCGTGTTCAAGGAGAGCTTTCTCGATCTTCAGGTTTAACTCCCTGAAATTTGCATCCACTACACTGCCGCTGGCCCTATCGGACGGATGCGCGACAGGATTCGGGTTCCATACACCTGCTGGTGTCCGCATCCCAACGGTTTTCTCTACCGAGAACATCCGTTTCTCAAGCTTGTCCAAATCCTTAAGGATCTCGTCCTCAGAAGCAGCATGGCTTCTGCGGGCAGCCTCACTATTCTCCTGAATCATCAGGCGAAGCCGATCAGTCGATGCCTCATTGTCCTTGACAGATTCATGGACCTCGTGGGACAGTAGGTTAATCCTCTGCTCCACGACCTCGGCTTGCTCATCGATGGCTTGCCTCACAATGGCCTTGCTATCGGGAATAACTTCCCTTGCGAACCGTTGAACTATCATTCGCATCCTCCCGGCATCAGATTGAGTCGCAACCTCAGCTGCCAGTCGATCGACCTTGTCCTTCGTCTGTTGATTCTCGTCGCTCCATTCCCTTCGCATGGAACTCACTTGACCGTTCAGTAACCTGATCTGGTCAGCAAAAATATGGAAAGCTTTCGCGACTGAGCCAGAAACCTCACCTTTCTCGAGCATCTCCTGGATGTGCAAATCGAGCACCTCCTTTGCCCTAGCGTCACCTGATTCACCGGAAGAATGAGACCTGAGTGCTGGAGGAGTCGATATCTCGATCCTCTCAGGAGCCCCACTAGCTCTAGCATATCTTCTGGGGTCATCCACAGGACTATCACCAACCCCAGATGGCCTGCTAGGGGTAGACCCCCTTCTACGGCTATCGCCGGAACGGGGATCAACATGGGACGCACGAGACTCGGGAGTAGAGTGGATGTGAACATCAGCAGGATCAGGCATCTCCTCATCCTGCGGAGTTGAGTCCATTGGTGAGGGGCTAGCCCTCCTCGCCTTTGACCTATCGGTCTCAATGGCCAGGGGTGACGGTCTCTTCGCAGAAGCACTACGTTCCCTGGCGGTCGAGCCCCATTGAGGTGTGAACTCGTTGCTGGACCTTAGCGTTTCAAGGTCACTGGTATCTCGCCCTAACGGGCTAGCGATCGACGGACGATCCTCGATTCCGAGTGCATCGGCAAGCCGGCCATCTCTTGCACCTCTCCCAACGACATCGGCAACCCGCTCAGTGACTCTCGGCGAACCAGTAACCCGGTTCGAGTTCACGTCTCTCTGATTTAACGGACCTCCAAGTAATGTTGGGAAAAGGGGGAACATTCGGGGTGTCACCAATCGCCGGGGGACCTACCGGTCCCTCACGGTCATGGATGGCCTCCAATCCCCGAAGAACTTCCCGACTGTCCCTGGCTCTCTCTCTCTCGCTTCGGGCATCCCTGTCAACGCGAAGGTCCCTGGCGGCTCCACGAGAGAGGCTCCTGGGCCTCGCAGCATCACGGATCCTAGCATTTCGTCGTGGTTGGTCCTCCTCCTCATCACGGCGATCCGCAAATGCGGCATACTCGTCATCATCATCGACCTCAAACTTGGCAGCGGCGGGACTAGTCCTTGCAGTCGCACGGCTGCCTGCATTTCGGCGCGAATGGCTCTCCTCCTCATCCGCAAAATTGTAACCTTCGCCATCATAAGACTCAGATTTGGCAGTAATAGGGTTGGGCCTACCGGCATCAGATCCCTGCTTTGAGCTACTGCCCCATCCTGCGGTCGATTTCAACAGATCATCGTATCCGAAGTCTGAGAACTTTCGCTCCTCGTGCTCATCAAACTGACCTGGATTCTGAGAACCAGTGGATCGGCCCGGGATACCTCCCGGAGCCAGAACCATAGTCCCTGGTCCCTGCGGCCTATTCTCAAACTCATCCGAGACCTGCGACTCACCTGGAACAAGAGATCTCGGAGGTCGAATCGGCATGGCCTCCGGGTCATCCGAATGAGGGCGGGCCATGTCCATCGCCATGCTGATGAAGTCAAAACGTCCACGCCTGTGACCTGATTCAGAGCCACTCCTATCGGAGTAAACCCTTCGTGTCTGCTCGTCATCAGTGGCCTGGCGGAAAATACGATCGTCTCCATCGTCGGCGTACCTGCCACGGCTCCTGGGTGTATCCCTACCGGGATCTTCACCCCTGCGGTCCTGACCTGTCGAACCTGCTTCGAAATCCTCGTAGTCATAGTCCGGTAGGTCCTCACCTGAGCGGAGGCCACCTAGGATGGCCTCCTCATCCACGACGCTCCTTCGAGATCGTGGGGTCGACATAGAGCTTGTAGTTGATGGTCTCAAGCGCGTAGGAAAGTCCTACGGCTGATAACCTGTGATTCGGGCACGAGCCTGTGCCCAGGCAATGGGTAAGTTGGGGTAAACAAGCCACAAAAGAAAGGTTCCCCAAAAGCAAACCAATCCCCGGTCCCAAAGATCAGGGTTTCCCACACACCAGAGAACAACAACCAAAGGAAAACAAACCAAACAAGAAAAGGGTTAACCCGCAACCTTGGTCGACAACAGGCCGCACGACTGGTCCCTACCAACCTGGCGGCGGCCCGAGGTCTCTTTCTCCCCCGAGATGCCGTCGGTCGACGCAGGGGTTCGGCGACGCCCATTCGAGGCGCGACGGAACCCAAAACTTGAGCCAAAACACCACAGGTCGGTCACTAACGCGACGTCCCTGATGATGATATGAACCATGGCTAATCACACACTCCTTTGTTTGCTTCACTCTACTTTAGCTTTTTTATTGAAAGGACAGAGTTGCCCCAAACGTGGCTAGCCAGCCGCTGGTCGGAGGGGCTGAGGTTGATGGCCACGGATGTGACAGGTGCCATGAGCCACGCCACGCTCACCTCGGCGTCTCTTGGACACGCGAAGCGGAGTCCTAGACTCTGGCCAATGCATGAGCGTGGGTCAAAAATAAACCACCAGGGGACCACAGGTTTTGGTCCATGTTCCCACTCACCAGGGTTTCATAATTAGTGGGTACCTATTTTTGACCCACAGCCACATCTCCCCAATAGCCGAAGAAGGGGTTCTGACTTAACCGGATTTGCCCAAATCAAGACCCAAGAAAGCTATGAATGCCCGACACAAGCTGACCGAGCAGCATCGTCATTTGATCAAATGTGCAACTTGACAATTGCGAACACCAATTTGGGGCAAGCGACATTGTTTGAGAAGGGGGGGCTGGGTACGTAAAAATCATTAAATGCCAAAACGAGTCGAGCCCGCTTCTCGGACTAGGTTCAACATAGCACTACCAAATTACACCCGCCACTTGGAAAGTTCAATTTGGCGTGTGCCCAAATGCGCCGAATCCTCCTGAACTATTGAATCCTGCGACGAAGCAACTTGGGCAAACAACAACAACCTCAGTCCACGTGACAAACATAAGGCATAAACCATAAACCTGATCCCAACCCTTCCTATGGGCAGCTGCGTTGCAAACAGGTACCACGCTCGCGCGCTATGGCAGGGTCGATGCATGCACAACTTGCAGACAGCATCAACCGCGACAGTGCTCGAGGGCTTCAGGTACGAAACACATGTAATCCTCTCAACTCAGCCAGCCCATCGGTGGAAGCCCATTCTGCCAACCCAAGTATAGAAAAGGGACGTTTATTCTTCTCCTGCCCTGGCCGAATCGACAATCAATTCCACAGGCCTGGGTTGCACGGGATGAAACAGCTTTCGAACACTTTGTCAGACATATCTTCCGCTCCGCACTCCAGAGGATTCGTGTCCACCAACCACTTTTGAGGCGGCAACCTGTTGAACATTCATAGCCATATTTGGCAAACATGTCCTGTTCAACCAAGTACCCTTTCCAACCCTTAGCCTGGTAGCAAACAACTTTGTTTCTTTGCATCGCCCTACTAAACTCAACAAACACCCTAAAACACAAAAAACAGTCATGCCAACCACCATGAAGTCAACAAAACATTCCCACTTTTTTCAAAACAAAAGGAGAGAACAATTACCAAGACAGAGCCCACGAACCCGAATGCACATCACTTTGCGCAAGCCCAAGAAAATAATTAGAGAGAACATTTTTCGGTATAAGCCAACGGCGGTCGCAATCAAGCCAACTGCGCAGACTATGTTTTTCAGCGTGTAAAACTGTACTTTGCGTGCTCCACTTGTTGCTACAAAGTTACGAGAGCTGGACACCTGCGCTTCGCGCGCTAGACTTGTACTACAAAGTTGCGATTTTCCAGCCGGAGCTGGAAAACTGTACTTCGCGCACTAGACTAAACTACAAAGCTGCGATTGTCCAGCTAGACCAGAAAACCTGCACTTTGCGTATTAATTAGACTTGTACTACAAAGTTGCGATTTTCCAACTGGAGCTCAAAACCTGTACTTCGCGTACTATACTTGCACTTGAAAGTTGCGATCTTCCAGCAAAGCTGGAAACTTGTACTTCACGTACTATGCTTGCACTACAAAGTTGCGATTTTCCAGCTAGTGCTGGAAACCTGCACTTCGCGTGCTAGACTTGTACTACAAAGTCGCAATTTTCCAGCTAGCTAGAAACCTGTACTTCGCGCACTAGGCTTGTACTACAAAGTTGCGCTTTTCCAGCTAGAGCTAAAAACCTGCACTTCGCGTACTAGACTTGTACAGCTAAGTCGCGATTTCCCAGCTGGAGCCGGAAACCTGTACTTCGCGCGCTAGGCTTGTACTACAAGGTTGTGATTTCCAGCTAGAGCTGGACTTCGCGTACCTGTGCTTCGCGTACTAGACTTGTACTACAACGTCGCGATTTTCCAGCTGCAGCTGGAAGCCTGTGCTTCGCGCATTAGACTGGCACTGCAAAGTTGCAATTTTCGAGCTGGAGCTGGACACCTGTACTTCGCGCACTAGACTTGCACTTCAAAGTTGTGATTTTCTAGAAACCTGTACTTCGCGAGCTATACGTGTGCTACAAGGTTGCGATTTTCCAGCTAGAGCTGGAAGCCTGCAATTCGCACACTAGACTTGCGCTACAAAGTTGCGATTTTCCAGCGAGTACTAGACTTCTGAGCGACACGTCGGAGCACAACTTCTGATTGACACTGCTGAGCGACACCTGATCAACACTTCTGAACCATGATCGACACTTCTGAGCAACACTTTTGATCCGCACTTCTGATTGACACTTCTGAGCAACACTTTTGAGAAACACTCAACACTGTGATTCGACACTGCTGAGCGACACCTCTGACCAACACCACGATCGACAGATCTGAGCAACACTTAGGATCGTTGCTTCAAATCCACACTTCTGATCGATACTGCAGAGCGAACTTCTGCGCAACACTTCTGAGGGAGCAACACTTCTGACCAACACTTCTGATCCGCACTGCTCATCGACACTTCTGAGCAACACTTCTGATCGACACTTCTGGTGAACACTTCTGATGCACACTGCTGAGCAACACTTCCGACCGACACTTCCGAGCAACACTTTTGAGCAACACTGCCGATTCGACACTGCTGATCGACACCTCTGATCGACAGTTCTGAGCAACACTTCTGACCGATGCTTCTGATCAGCACTTCCGAGCAACAAACACACACACACACATGTAAGCGACGCTTTTGAGCGACAATTCTGAGCGACACCTCTGAACAACGCTTCTGGGCAACACCCTGGGCGGGACTCCTGAGCAACACTCTGAAAACACCTTTGAGCGACACATCTGAGCCACACATGTCACACACACATCAGCAGTGTTGCGCCTGCGCGACAATCCGGGCAACATTTCTACAGTTTTCTACACACATATCTCAGCGACATGAGCGACGCTCCTGAGCGACACTTCATGACACTTCTGAGCGACGCCTCTGAGCAATGAGCGGTACCTCTGAGCAACACTTTTTGAGCACACTTCTGATCGAAACTTCCGAGCAACAGTTCCTTCTGAGCGACACTTCTGAGCAACACTTTTGACTGACACTTTTGAGCGACACTTTTGAGCGATGCTTCTGAACCACACTTCTGATTGACACTTCTGAGCAACACTTCTGATCCACACTTCTGATCTGATCGACAGTTCTAGTTCTGAGCAACACTTCTGATCAACATTTCTGACAACATTTCTGAGGGACTGAGCAACACTTCTGCGCAACACTTTTCGACACTTCTGATCGACACTTCTGAGCAACACTTCTAATCGACACTTCCGAGCAACACTTCTGCCGACACTTCGGACCGATACTTCTGGGCGACACTTTTGATCGACACTTCTGAACGACACTTTGATCGACACGTCTGTCTCCAAATGCGCACCGCGCCACAGCGAGAGCGATTCGACCCACCCAAAGTGCGCAGAGGGTTCGCTTCGCGTTCTCAAAATGATCTCAAAATGTGCACCGCGCCACAGCGGGAGCGATCTCGCTGAGTCAAAGTGACGTGCCTGCCACGAAATCTACGCCCAGGCGCCAAAGTACTGCGCCTGCCACGACATTTGCACGAAACAAAGTGCCGCGCCTGCCACGAAATTCAACCAAAACGCTCGAATCGACCAATTTTGACATGCTTCAGGCTCGCCAAAGCGAGCCGATTGTACGACAGGGCCAACGAAAAAACGACGCCGGCGCAAACACTATCACGCGCCTGCCAAGCAGGACACCTCAAAGCGACCACCCCTGGATCGCAAGTCCCTCTGGCACGGCAACGAGAACACGCAGACTTCCAAAAAACCGCGCCTGCGCAGCGAAACGACACGTCGAGCTTGAGAAGCTACGATTCGCGCACAGGGCCAACGAAAACATCAAACTCACGCGTTCTGCGCTTCTTTGCTGGGAGAGCCATAGCGCAATCATACGAACGGTTGCGGACGGTTGCGGACCGTTGCGAACGGTTGCACAACATCCGGCGAACAAGTCTTCACCCCAGACCCCCAAGATGAAACGAGAACCCTATGCTACGCATTCGGGAACAAAAAAGAATTAAAAAAAAATAAAAAATAAAAATAAAAAAATAATAATAATAATAAAAAACACATAAAAAAGACACCGAGAAACCAAACAACGAGAACAACAAATCACAACGAGAGGAACAGCTCCAACAGCGGTGAAGCCCAACAAACGATGAGGTTTTTACCCCAAGCTTCGCCGCTGCACCGCCGGGGAGAAAAAAAAAAAACAAAACGAACCGCGCTCGCGCCATGGATGGACGAGGCGCCACTGTGGCGGAGGCCTGGAAGAAGCGCCGGGCCGAGTCGCCCATGGAGCTCTTGGCGGCCTGGCCCTTGGTGCCTTGAAGCCGAAGCTTGGGGTTTGGTTTGGGGGGGGGGGGGGGTTGGGGGGTTTTTTTGGGGGATGCATCCTAGGTTCAGGTGCAAACATTGATCAATGTCAGATCTCGCATGTGTTCGATCAAACGAGACCTACGCCTATTCATCATGTTTGGTGTGTTCGATTAGCGCTTGCTTGGCGTATTTGGCAGAACGTGCAAAAGTTGATGGACGGGGTGACTTCTCTGTCCATGTGTTTGTATCGTGTTTTTCCCACAACAGCCGAAAGCTTGGGGGACTCGGCTAGGCTTCTGAAAGCTTAAGGGTCTGCCCTTGGTCAGGTTCCTGGAGGGTAGGAAGGGGAGCTTCCTGAGCTGTTGGGGATACTCCTTGAACTTATTACATGGTGGTTTATTGCTTTGGGGGCTTGAGGGTTTTTTGGGGGGTTTTGGGGGTTTGGGGGGATTGGGGGCGGGTTTGGGAGTTTTGAGGTTTTTTAGGGGTTTGGGGCTTGGGGGGGGACTTGAAGACTGATGTTTTCGGGGTGTTGGGGAGTTGAAGCCGAAAATGGTTTTGGGGTCTACCAGTAGGGAGTTGAACATAGTTAAACCCTGATTTTTTTGTTGGGGGTTGGAACGATTGCTTTGGGGGTTGGTGTACCCTGGTTTTGGAGCTTGGGGGGTTGCGTTGGTTGGGTTGGTTGGGGGGTTGATTTGGGGGGTTTGAAGCTCTGCCTTGTCCTCTTTGCTGACTTGGTATTTTGGATTTGGGGTTGAGGGATTGGACCATGAAAGGATTTCAGGCGGAGATGTGCTGCGTGAACAAATATCCCAGCTCCGTTGCTGGCAGTTTTGAATGAAAATGAAGAACCGAAGCACAACAAGAATCCACTGGAAGAGGTGGCCCTTCTGGAATGCGACCCTGGAGATGTTTTATGCACCAAACCAAAGGAAAGTCTGCAAAACAGCTGGCAGCATGGGCCTTGGCACGGACACCTGCATCGTTACGACGAGGGATTAATCCAGAAGCGGGCATTCACAAATTAGTCACAGCATCCAAGCCGCATTTCCCTTACCACGCTATTTCGGCCCTTGGGAGTTTAGCCGCCCAAAACCACGAAACCACCAAATCCTGTAGCCAAACTGGCAAGCTGCCCCAAGTCGGGGAAAAAAAGAGACTGCCGTTTAAACATGGACTTGCCTTCAAATGAGGGGATCCCCTGGGTGGTTTCCCATGTTCCCTTCTTGAGAAACCACTGAAGGGCAGCTTCACACGCCCGCCCGCCGACCGCCTTCTCGCTGCTTTCCGAGGTGCGGAACTGAGCTTCAAACGCCTCCAGGCTTTGAACACGTCCCCCGGTGTGCTCGAGCTACTGTGCATGGAGAAAATGCCAGCAAATGGAAATGAAACCATCCGAAGACTGGACACAATCTCATTACCAGCGACGGATGAAGCCATACGACTAGGGTAGACCGCCTATCAATTGGTGCGGGTTTTTCTTGATGCTGTCCACGGCATGTGTGACTACAGAAGGTAACGAGCGATTGTCCAATTAGGTTTAAAGGGGTGTTCCCTGGGTTACATTTTGCACTTTTGAAGGCAATCACTAGGCAACTTGGTAGAAAATGCTGGGTTCCTCTTGCGAAACGCCCATTTGGAATTGTTGTCTAGTTCACGGGCTCATAAGAGCCTGAGGCCGTCTACCATTTACAAGGGCTGAAGTCAGCAGCCATGGCCACATGCTGGTGATCATTTTCTGTATTACAAACTGAGAGCAGGGATCCGTCGCGGGTGGCCAGCTCGTAGTGGCAGCAAGAGTGACTGTTAGGCTATGGCTCCCCTTGTGGCTCTAAGGCAGCACGGGAAAAGGGAGCCAAGACGAACAAAACAAAACCGGGATCTGCAAAAAAAGGGCCATTAGGACCTGCATCGTCGGGGCCTGAAGTGGCTTCTTTCCAATCGAGAAGTGGCTACAAACCAAGCGCTCGGAACTTCCTGCCCGGGCCATATTCCCTGCCACCTCCCCCAACAACCCCCCCCGGTCACTCAAGTTTCCAAGGATTGTTCCCCTCCAAGCAGGGAATTCCTTGGGACAAATCTAGCATTGCAGCGTCACCCGCGGAGCGCACACAAGTAGACTCACCCAACTTTCGCACATCTATCCACAATTTCAGGTCCCAGAAAGGGCTTCGGCCCGTTTTCCCATCTGCCCCAATTTACATGTTGCGTCATGTGAATCTCCCCGGGCCAGGAGGTTCGTCTACAAATCATGGCATTTGGGTTCCATGTTGCTCCCCCCACAAATCAATATGGAGCTCACAGGCTTAAAACCCGTTCCCCGCCTTCAAATTGGCGGCGGCGTCCCGCTGCCCGCCGTAGGCCGCCAGGTTCACCGCGTCCCGCGAGGTCCACCTGGCGCTGCGCGGGCGCAGGGCCCGCAAGAGCACTGCGGAGGTCTCCATCAACTCACCCAGGCCTCAGCGAGGCCAAAACACGAGACGTGACTGGCCACCCTTTTTGTTTCATCGATTTTCACCTGGAGAAGACTTGTTACTTGGTTCTTTGTTTGTTTGGTTGCTTTTGTTTTTGATCGATTTTCACCTGGAGAAGCCATGACCCTGGAAAACATGAAGGTCACATGACTCCAAAAGTCAGGGCTCATGACCTGTTCAAGAAAACTTGGAAAAATGAAAGATTCCGATTTTCAAGTCTTCCCCACAAAAGGGAAAATCAAACTAGACATTTGAACCAGCAAGTTGAGCAGGGAACTCTGCAAGAAAAAAGCTGCATTGCACCAGGAGACTGGTCTCATGGCTTCGTCGCTTCACGCCGGGTGGGGCATGCGCAGCCTCGTTGAGAACATTGCCATTGCCAACCCCCAGGTTTACCTCAGCTGACATCAGAAAAATAAACTGCAGATTCGGATGAAGCCAGGACACTTTCACACACAAACGCACACTCGCACGCCAGGTTATGATGACGAACCCCTTCTGCCATTCGCCGCACTTGCCCCAATGATGCCGACTTCCTGCGCTGGGCACCGAAAAATGCAACTTTTTGGGCGAAGCGGCCCAAATCTTTTGCGATCCTTCGCTCAGCGAGAACCAGAAGCCATGCTCCTGGAGCCCCGGCACGCTGTATCCTCTGAAAGACGCCGACCCTTCGGTCTGCGCGCGGCGGATGGCGCCCCCCTTGCCATCGCCCTTGCCATCGCCCTTGCCATCGCCTTGTTTGCCTTGGCTCCGCCAGGCAAACCAACAAGCCCTTCTTCCTTTAAGTGGGTATGGTGGGCTAACATTTGGATATTCAACCAACTTACTTGATAGTTAGTGGGTCAACTTCGGACCATGGTGGTAGTTGCGGAACTGGAGCTAGTTCCCTTAAAACCATGGCTGGAACATCCAAGCAACTGGCTTGTTGATCAGCCTGGGCTGACCATGCACGCGAAACAGACAGAAAACAAAAGTGCCATTTGCTTCAGGTGGCCGCCTCCCTTGCCCTTTCCTTCCGTCCAGCCAACCTGCACCAAGGCTTCCACTAATCGACTTCTGCAGTCGTGCATCTGGCTTATGGCCTGCAGGGTCCGGCCGGGTAAGCCAAACGTAGCCATGGAAGACCCAGCTGCCAGACAAAGAACGCTGCAACAAATAAACCCACTAGGGGAAGCATGATGGTTGCGGCGGTATGGGCGAGATGCACATTTGGCCCCAAAAAGGTCTCTATGCTGCCAAAGGCCAATCATTGTCAATAAACGGTTTGTTTGCATATGTGTGTGCTTCTGCGTCTTTTTGCTTGGTTGATTGCTTGACTAACCGACTGACTGACTTACCGGCTGACTGGTCGATCGATCAACCATTCACGCAGATATAGTTTATTCAGTTAAGTTATGTGTTGCGTGGGTGTTGCTTGCTCGCTCGCTCGCCTGCTGCCTGTGCTTGGCTTGCTTGGCTTGCTTGACTTGCTTGGCTGGCTGCTGGCTGGCTTACTTGCTTGCTTGCTTGCCGGTTTGTCTAACTTGTGACTTCCAAGTACTTGAGTTGTTTTGGGATTCTTGCTGGCTTAAAGATGTAAACCAACAAACATAAAAGAGAAAGATAAGGAAAAGACATTAAACATATAATGTAAACAAAATGTAAAAGAAATGCAAATATTATCTCTTTTCCTTTGTTTGGATTGTTTGGTTGCTTTCATGTCATTATTCTTTCTCTTTATCCTTTCATTTACTTATCTTTTCCCATCATCTCACCCCAGCCCTCTTCTTGGCTGGTTAATAGGTGCTTTCATGCTTGCTTGTTTGTTGGCTTTTGTGTGTCTACGTGTGCACCTACGCGTCTTTTTGTTTGTTTGTTTTTGTTGGTTTGTTGGCTTCTTTCTTGCTTTCTTGCTTGTTTGTCCCTGTGTCGCTGAACTCGTGGACGGCGGACTTGGACACCTGGTGTTCCTCGCTTATCCGGTTCTCTCAGGCCAAGCCATGTCGCTGGACAGTGCTCAGACGGTTCGAAAGATACCTGGAGAACTGGGCGAGGCCCACTGAACCATTCTCATCCATGCTTCCTCTTGAAAAGGCCTGAAGTCAAACCAACGCCTTACATCTCTGTGGACGACCCGGGAGCCACGTGCAACGATACAAAGGGCGACTCCCATCCCTGCACAGCGAAGAGCAACCACGCTACTCAGCTTTTCGGATACTTCCTCCCAATGTTACTTAGGAAATTGGGATTTGGCGCCTCCTCCTCCAGACGTTCGCCCAACTGCCGTTCCAAAGCCTGGCGCTTGCAAGGAGGGTTCGCATCCGTTGGGGTGCGAGAAGTGACGCGACCATCGCATCTTCCACCGGGGATGCTACACATGTGGGATGTTGGTCTGCAGTTTGGCCTTCCTCGCACTTCTGGGTTACTTCATTGCGGGTGTGCGCATAGCCCATCTGCCAAACAATGCTACGGATGCACATCTGACATGTCCTCCACAAACATCACCCAGTGAAAAAGGAAACCCCCTTCATGCTGGTCAACAAGCAGTGATGGCTCAAACGATTTGAAAGGGAGGCTAGGGACACCCTTTGTTCATTAGTTGTTTTGCCAAGCCGGCTCAGAAGCCTGTGCCATCTCTGAGTCTGTGTGCATGTGGCTTCCTGCGCGGGACTCTTAACGTCTGGTCCGATTCATTTGATTTGGAACACTGGTTTTGAGGGCACCCTTTCTGGACCGGGTTTCAAGGGAAACCAACGGAACCCAGTGTGAGGGCTCCTATATTTCCATACAAAGCCATTTTGTGAACAACCCGTGGACAAAACGGGGCCAAGCCACTCACAACGGCAAAACAACACAGGGGACTAAGCAAACGCAGCGGCCCCCGCCAAAGCCAAGGCAAGAAGGGTGAGGGGTGGGGGGCGGGGGGAAGCACAAACGAGTTCCCTACAACTCCTTTTTTTAACACCCAGAAAACTCGCGTTGAAGGCCCTCCTGTAGGTTTAACGCCTCCGGAAAAGCGCATGACCCTAAATCACCACCAAACAGCGGCCAAACAGCCAAAATCGCCAACACCCGTAGGTGTCCTTTTGGTAAAATAGATGGCCCCAGTAAATGGAATAAACCAAACTGAACCAGTGGCACCCATTTCACATTTTAACTAAACTAAGCTGAAAAGGACAGCTTTGCCAAAAACTGTTGCGATGTTTGCCCAACATGATAATTACCAATGGATGGCTTAGGGAATCAAACCAAAAAATGGTTCCCTTCATAACAGCGAAGATGAACATGCACCCGGTGAAACCTCCCGTATGACATATGCAACACAATACTGGGCTGTCCTCAGATCCTCTGCTACAAGCTTAACTTCTAGATGGTGAAATGGAAACCCAAGCGCTCAACCAACTAAAAAGGTCTAAGCAGCCAAGGACCCGGATTCCTGACGGCCACCAAGTAACAATGAGCATGTAGGGGCCAACGATTGACGTGGGTCATGGTTTTCCATAACTCCCCGTTATCTTGCTGGTGCTCAGCAGGGGATGAGGGACTGCACATAGGGATTCCCTTGAAGGAAGTGATAGGTGATGGTTTATAGGGGTCATTATGGCCAAAGAATGAGGTACGCAGGTTTTAGTCTTTGTTTAGGTTGGTTGATCATTCCTTGGTTCAAAACAAGTACTTCTTATATTCATTCCTTGGTTCACCATCTATATTCTATTGAACCAAGTACATGTCCAATCGCATGTGGCCATGAGGGCATCGGTTGTGCCCATGCCAATTAGGAGGGGTCTTCCCATTCCAATTAGGGCTTCCAAAAGACTAACCCCCAAAGGGGGAGATATCACAGAAGTGGTTGGATAAACCCCAGGCAATCCAAGAATAACCCCCCATAAACACGGGTAACCCGCCTGATCCCACAAACCTGAGCCACCGCCATGTGAACGGCTCGTTCCATTGGGTTAAGACCCCTGGAAAAATGTGTCCGGTAGTGATAGATTCCCTTTAAAACCAGCAGGGGAAAATAAACACATATGTTCTTACGCAAATGGAAGCTAGATTCTTGGATCCCATAAAAACCGTCAATGTCGTGACACCACATACTGTGGATGGACCAACTCCGCGCCAGGCACGTGTCTCAACCCGTTGAGCGCCTCAAGGCAGTGAACCAGCTGCTCCGCCGCCTTGGCCGCCGCAGGCATGGGCGCCTCCGCGAAGCGGCTGGAGGGAGCCAGGAGCCCCGCCGGGCCACCGGAGGAGTCCGAGTAGGGGTTCAGAATGTCGATGTACCTCGGTTGGACAGGAAAATGCCTTCCTTAGGTGGGTGGATGTGGGTGGGTGGGTGGGCGGGCGGCGGGCGGGCGGGCGGGCGGGCGGGCGGGTGGGTGGGTGGGTGGGTGGGTGGGTGTGGGTGGTGGTTGGCCCATCTACTTTCATCCAACTGCGTAAGGGACCGTTGGAAAGGGTGCTTGATTGTTTGTGTTGGTTGGTTGGTCGGTCGGTCGGTCGATCGATTTGTTGGTTAATCCATTTCTGGTAATAGATAAGGGAGTCAGAAAACCGACCATGGCTAGAACAGGCGTCCAAGAATTACTCACCCTGCCCAAAGGGACTGGAAAAACGGGATTCACCTTGTCTAAAAAGTGGCCCCAACAAGGCAAACTCGCAGCACATGCCGATTTGCTGCGGACCAAAGCAGCCATTGCAACCAAACAGTCGCTTGAAGGGCTATAGCCCTTTCATGGCTCCCCCTGCTTTAGCAAACGCATTACACATGAAATTGCACCTGACTCGCCGCTTCTCATGACAAACCGACCCCCGCCCTCCCTGGCATTTTCCCGGTCCTGGTGCTTCATTGCACCCAAAAAAAAAACGCCAGTAGCTTCCCTACCGACCCCAGCCGAGTTCAGTCGGCGCTCCGCGCGCAAACCGGGGGAACAAAAACACATAATTAACAACAACAAGAAGAAAAAAGAAAAACCAAACATACAACCAATATATATATATATATATATATACACCTATATTTGTATATATGTATATATATATATATTGATTTTTATGTGTGTTTTTTAAGAGAGACACAAATAAAGGCTCAGCGAAAGGCGCAGGGAGGCGCGCCACTTCCTGGGCAGCCCGTGGCGCAGCGCCAGCGCGGAGGCGCAAAGCATCCAGACCCAGCAGCCCTGCAGCAGCGCCGCGAAGGGCATCCTGACGCGAGTCCCACCCAGTGAGCTGCTCCCCAAACGGCAGCTACAAGGGCAGGCAACACAGCCATTTCTACCTCACGAGAAGAATGTGGTTGTGGATTTTTGGCACTTTTGAGCCAAAGTACCTGATGATCTTGAGATGATGTGAGTAATTAGGGTGGAGGCGTTGTCAAAATCAGGAGCTGCTCAGGAGCCCTTTTTGGGATCCCCACTTGAAAGCACCACAAGCTGGCACTCGGTCGCCAAAAAGGTGGCCATATGTCTGACAACCCCCAGAAGCACCCTGAAAGGACGTGCGACTGTTGTACCTGAGTTTGGAGCTTCAACCAGTTCCAAGCGATTCCTATATCTTACACGGGTCTGTTGACTTTGGTGAAAGCAATCATAATTATACTTTGCCTAACCGGTTGAAAAGAACTCGGCAACCTTTGTGGGCTATTCTGTGAATTGACCGAAATTGGGAAACAAATTGCCAACAAAGCGGCAATGCAGGCCCGCAGGTGCAGTGCAAGCAATCCTGCCAATGAAACCATCAAGGCAAAAGCCAGAAATGCAGTATGCATGTATAAACCTCGTGGACTGGTGCAAAAACATATCCTCAGCATAGGGTTTGCTCAAGGGGCCTGGACATGTGCCAAAGAAACAAGCAAGCTGCATGCGCCTTCGTCATGCAGCGCAGCCTCTTGTTTGTGGAGCTGCTTTTTGAATGGCTGCAAGAGAATCCAGAAGACTTGCAATTCTCAAGGCTCCAACTGCTTCCCCACGCATAAGTCATGTGCCCATACGGGGCGACACCCTGAAACTGTTTCGAGGGTCGCGAACAAAACAACAACGCCACCAGATCCAAGCCTTAACCGTTTGCTTTCGAAGAGTGGTTTGTCTAAGCCCTTCCCGCTAAAGGCCTTAAGAATCCTAACCCTCTATAAAACACCCAAACAGTCGCAGAAAGGCAGAACCCTACAAGGCCGCGTGATTCTGTTTTATTCTCGCTGTTTTGAGGTTCGCTTTCCTGCCACGGTTTCTTTTGGGCGGGTGGTGAAGTTCTTAGCGGTCCGTGTGAAGGGTGGTTTGTCTGAGATCCGATCTCAGGCTAACTCTTGGCCCCTGGCAAAGATAAACTAAGCAAAGGAATCTGAGAGCAGGTCTTAGCCATACTAAATTCAAAATTGGCAATGCAATACTAACCTAAGCACGAAGAATCTGAGAGTAAGTTTTGGCAATACTAAATTCAGACTTGGCAACACAAAATCAAGCACTCTTGGCAATACTTAATTTGGAATTGGCAATACTACAGTAAATCAAGCATTGAAGTCCAAGTCCAACCCAGACACCCCCTTGTCCACCCAAAGAGGCCGTAAATGGCTGTTGGCACTGTCCGTCATGTTAAAACAGAGCCTACATTACTGCAAGGGGTTCTTCAAGCCGCAGTTGTCAGGAAAGCGTCAAGTTCCGCATGTGGGTGACAATCGCGACGGCTGCCGTTGCGGGTCCGCACAACGAAACCTCGGAAGCGGTGTGCAACCTTTAACCCTGATTCAAAACTGCAGCACAAACACGCAGCTCTGAACCCCAAAACTCCTACGAATCCCTCCTGAATCAAGGGATCCCGAATTCCAGGCGACGGACCTACATCGTGAGCTCGCTTTATTTACCCCGGATCCGGGAGTTCGCCACAAAGCTACGCTGGCGAGCCTGAGGCGTTTGAACACGTTTTCTTGCATAGGGAGCACAAAGCAGGATGTCAGGAACCCTGTGCCGAAGCATCTGGTACAAAGCATCTTGAAGACTGGACCATCTCAAGCCCGGATTGCACCCTTGGAGGTGCACCCTTGGAGGTGCACCCGCATGCCGTGCAAGGAAGCGTCCTGCAACCATGCGGAAAAGAAGCTGCAGCCCACATAGCATGCTCCGGCCGCTTGAGCACTACATCAATGGTCACGGACCACCACGCCAGGACGGACATGAAAGCATAGGTAAACCATCCTGGGTGGCAAATTGATAGCTTTGCCGGCAAAAACAAGGCACCCATGCTCCCCAAAGACTTGAAGGTGAAACGTCCAATACAGAAGCCAAGCATCCCGAAGCGAAGGGATCCAAGTTTTCACCCTCCATATTGCTGCGGCTGAAGTAGGTGGAATAGTAAGCGATGCCTGAGAGCAGGGTGCTGGTCCCAATGGACATGCAGACTTTGCTGTAGAGGTCGAAGGTCTGCCAATTCCGCATCATCAGTGAATAGAACCTCATGCGCATCGTCAAAAGCGCAAACTATTCAGCATCCTAAAGATATGTCTATACAAATATGTATATATATATATACATGTCCATCTCTCTCTGTCTCTCTCTCTCTCTCTCTCTCTCTCGCTCTTTCTAAAAAAATCAGCCAGGGCCTGATGGCACTCCTGGACTTGTCATGGGGCTCGATCCGTCAGAGCCGTTGGGCCTTTGAAGCGGCCTCTTGGGGTTCCAAGATGGACCAATGCGCAGCTTCCCTACGTCAGATCCATCGGCCTACTGTCCATTAATCAGCTCGCAAAATCGATCGCGGACGGGTCAAACAGCACGCATGAGGAAGCAAACGCATCCAGGCCCAAAGCAGGTATGGATCAACCAGCAGCTAGAAAGAAGCCAAGTACACCACACAAACAAACAAGTGTGCGACTCCTCTTCTGAAGTCGGTCCAACATGTTCTGATGGGCCAAGGCTTTGAGCCTTCCGGGCAATCAAACATAATCAAACACCGTGAGCTACTCTCCCCACACCAACTTGGAACTTCAAACGGGAAGGTTCCCCTAGCCCTAGCGCCGTTTTTTTTCTTTTTTGTGTGTGTGTTTTGTGTGTTTTGTGTGTTTTTCATTATTCTTGTCCTTTTTTTGGGGGGGGGGTTGCCTGTGGACATGGAGGAGCGCACAACGGGCTGGACAAACCATGAGACGCCTCGGCCCACGTTGAGCCTGGTGGCTTCAAGTGCGGATTGGCATCCAGGTCCTCGTTCCCCGCGCGCACGTCGCTCACGTGCCACGGAGACGGCGGGGGCGCCCACGGCACCGGGGAACGCCGGGCGCCGCCCCTGGCGAGGTCCGGCCACTGGCTTCGGCCCGGGGCCCAGGGAAATCGGACCTTGACCTCTGGTCAGCTTCCCTCTCATTGGTGGTTTGGACTGGTGGTAAGGGGGTGGCTTCCCATATTTACCCTATTTACCCTCTAAATGAACCGTGAAGGGCCAACTCAAAGCCAGCTACCACATGGTGCAAAATGATGGAATCCTGGACATCGCACCGCACAAGGGAGCTGCACTGGTTACTGCGGGCCTCAATGGGGAACGACCCATGAAACGTCACATCCACAAGCATATGCGGACTGGGAGAACCCTGAAGAAAAGCCCCCTTCCTTTGAGGCCAAAATGCACTTCCGTCCAACGTCAACTGGAGCCAAACAAAAACACCACAAAATACAACTTGCTCAGAGACGCGGGTGCATGGCTATAGCCCGGGCGCGATCCCAGCATCTGCCAGCATGGGAGCCACATGCCCCAACCAAGGGCGTGTATCTTTTGAATCTGGTTCAACAAAACGAAACGCCATTTCGATTTCACCTGCAAAGGGAAACCGCCCCAACAGAAACTTGTTGACCACGTCAACATGTCCCCCTTTTGAGGGGGGTGGCACTGGAAGTGCGGGGCTTTTTTGCGCGCCTAGAGGCCTCGCTTGCCAGTGGCAAACGGAAAGCTCCCTCGAAGTTGGATTCCTCGGAATCCGGCCGGATTACCCTTTGACCGTCTTGAACATATGTGGCCCCCAAAAGTGAACAAGGCCTCCTAGGGCCTCTTCGCTTTTCCAAAGAAAAGGGATTTCTCAAGGTAAGAACTGCCATGGTGGTGTCAACAGCCCCCAGCCCCGTGAAAACTGCTCTACCTTCATTGAGCTGTATACTACTGCATGCTTGATTATTTACGCACCAACTTCACATCTTTACGCCGGCGGTCAGGTCTTTGCAGGCTTCAGTTTGAGCACGGACAAAATGGGGAGGACGAAATCCGCAACATCACCAAGCAAATCCGCACCAGAACCGGCGCTGCCAAATCTCCAGCGCCTATGCGGGGTGCTTCTCCCAGAACAGTGCAGGAAAACAAATCAAGCTACCCCAAAAAACATGATCCCCTATGTGCAGGAAAACAAATCAAGCTACCCCCCATGCGCCAACAAACGGCCAGGTGCGGACTTCAGGTTCCTTTCCGACCCCCGCAATCGCCCACTCCGAGCGGCGTAGTCCTTGGCTGACGGCGCTGCGGCGCCGATCTCCTCGCACGGCAGGCGAGGGACGGCTTTCTCAACGCACGGCATGCGTTTTGCCGCCGAAAAGGATGCAAGCGCTGCCACAACCACCAGAGGCCCCAGGGTTTTGGAGGACCCAGTCCGGACCCAACAAAGGGGGCAGCCGCCGCCGATGTTCAAATTTTTCGGCCCCGGACCCAAGGAACTTGATGCAACTTGCCCTGTGACGGGGAATGAGCGTGCCCCATTTTTCGCAAAAACTTTCTTTGAGCACAAAAACGCCAAAGGCAAAACCACCTTTAGACCAGCAAAACAACGCGACATCTGCGCAGATATGACCGTCGCCGTGGGAAAAATGGCGGAACTGCAGCCATCTCCCTAAGGTTGCCACATGATGTATAGAGGGAGGATCCAATTATGTTCCTCCCCCCCCCACCCGGCACAGACAGCGATCCAATCAAAATCACGTGACTCTTTGAGCCCTAAACAAACACTACAGCTGGGAGATGGTCCCCTTCCACCGAAAGATCTAATCCAACTTGTTCAAAACATCTCTATGCATCACAGGACAAAAGCTACTTTTACGTCCCCCGCCCCCCACATCACCCCAAAAGGGAAATATGGAAATATGGCGATGCCTGAACAGCGGCCAGCCCCCCCCACCCCCCCGAATTTGTCACCCCGTGCTCAATGCCCAAGGGAGTGAACAAAAATACTCATAGACGATTCAAACACCACTTTCACTCATTAGCCATCTTGCATATTTGTGCTGGCCTCAGGTTTGGGGACAAGGTGTGCCCTTTGGCTATCCCAGAGGCGTCAGCGCTTCGGAACTCGCCTCGTCAGTGGCCACGGGGATCCGGGCCGCCTGCAGCAACATCTTGGTGGTAAAGGACTGCGCCACGATGGAGGCGTGCATCGAGAGCCAAATGGAGATCAGCAGAAACAGGAAGGAGGTCAGAAAGCACACCTGGGTGTGGGTCATTTTCCAGGGGACCGCAGGTTTTGGTCCATGTTTCCACTTACTAGGATTCCATTTGGGGTACCTATTTTTGACCCACCCACCTGGCTTTTTGATCTTCAGACGTGAAGGCCTCTGCCTTCGGCTTGGTTGCCAGAATGCCCAGTGGTTTCTTCCATCTGCTTTAGCCCCCGGGCAAAAATAACATACTTCCAGTAGTGATAGATTCCCTTTAAAACCAAAAAATGAAAATAAGCAATATTCCTAAGCAAATGGAAGGTTTGTGTTGTACATGTGGCCTGATCTGCCAGAGTGCTGGACACACCTCGTCATTCATGAGAACATGTCGTCCCTCGAGGTGGGGGACCTGTCAACGGTAACTAATCTGATTACCTGACTGGTTCAATTGCCATCATTGCTCGATGCCGGCCATGAGACACATATCAGCCCAATATCCCCACCGCAGCCCCCAGAACCTTCCGGCGAATCCGAGCAAGACTCTAAAGCTTTCAGCTGTTGAGCCGAAAACGGAATACAGAAACTCCATAATTCAACGCCTGCATTCGGACAAGCAAGCTCCAGGAATTCACAAGTGGGTTTCCTCCGCCCTTTTGCGAGCTGTATTTGATCCAAGTGGCCGAGAACAACAGTGTCACCTGACGCTCCATGTAGCACTGGCGTTGGGGCCCATCAGTCCGGTCAAAATTGAAGAAAATCGTGACGATAAAGCCTGAGGCAAGCATGGGATCTGCGAAACTCCAAACACAGAAGGACTCTCCGTAAGGACGGAGCCTTCACTGGCGAGCTCGCTTCAACCCAAGGCAAGCTCGGCATCGGCAACGGACGGCATGGAGCAAGCAAAACCCGAGGCGCCTCTTAAGCAGCTTAAGACTCACCGACTCCTTCCAGTGTTCACGGGGATCCCACCTTCGCAGCTGAGGGATCCCATCTTGGCAGGTGCCATGGCAACCCACTAGAGGCTAGGCACGATGTGGGGGCCTGTTAGTGTCAGGCCTCGGGCAACAAGTCCTACACGTTGCGGGCTCACCGGATGACCAAAAACCAATCATAGAAACCAGCTACAGGAAACTCGACCGAAAACTGGGCAAATGCCCATCAGAAAACAAGGATTTCCTCTAGAATTTCCCGTAGCTGGCTTCGTAGAACCAAAGGGCCATCCCAAATCGACTCTTTTGGCATAGAAGGTGCTTGGCACAGCAGGGCAAAAAATCGCGCAAACACACCGGCAGTATTGGTGCTTCTTGACGCCACGGATAGAAAGGGGGTTGCTGAAGAAACGAAACAAAGGACATGCGCTCGGTGCTCCAACATGCAATGTCGGCCGACTTTGACAAATGGGCAGTATGGCAACTATGCCAATCATTTGTCTGGAGGCCCAACTTCAGCGTGTTCACGATGAGGTAGCTGTCCATCTTGTTCACTGTCCTCAGGATTTGGAACTCTAAAAGCAAGACGCTCAGCGCGCCAAGAAGCAAACACTCCTAAGCAGCGCAAGGCGACCAAGCTGACCGACTCTGAACAGACTGAAGTGCACCAAACCAAAAATCGCCGCAGACGCCAGGTGCTGCGTAGCTTCAAGGCCGCCAAGTCCCGAATATCTTCCCGGAAGAGGCTGTACCGCGCAACCGCCATGTTCTGGCGCTGGAACTGGCTCGCCTGCTTGACCTGCCAGGGTTGCATCAGGGTACCGTGCCGCGTGTCAAAACAATTGACCTTTTGGGAAGCGAGTGGAATAGGACCACTCTTCTCCAACTAGTTTCACACATAGCCACCCACAGGCCTCTTCCCAAGAAGAAAAGTCATCTTCCAAACGGGGCAACTCTGCACATCCGTGCGCGTATATGTCAACATAGGATGCCTCAAACCTTGTGGTTCACTTTCAACCAGGCTGGAAAGGGTGCCCTCATAAAACACACACACACACACTTTCGTAGGTTTGGTGGCTGTTTTTTTTTTTTCCGGCAAGCGCGCCTGCCAGTCCCATTGCCAGTTCTCCCGATTGTATGACCAGAGCGAGTGCGCGAAGCCCGTGAAGGCGGCAGCTTCCGCCATTGGCATGGCAGCTTGAAGCGCCGATGTCCAACTCACACCACGGGATGCATGTATACAAACACTTGTCAGGCTGTAGGTGTTTTTTTTTGTGATATGTCTGCATTTATGTGCACACGCACATGTCTATATATGGTGCGAGTATATACGTACATTGATTCAACAATCCGTAAATCACATATTCAGCATGCACTGACCAGGGCTCTGCTGCAAAAAGACTGGCTGACGAATTGCAAGTGCTATTCTATACCTAGAACTTCCTGCGGCGGAAATTTCTGCCGCAACGCATTGCGGCGGAAATTCCCGCCGCATTCCAGAAAATCAGCCGCAAACCCAAAAAAACGCCGCAACCAAAACAAAAACGCCGCAACACCGTTTGCTTTCCGGGAATTTCCGCCGCATTCCCGCCGATTTCCGCCGCATTCCCGCCGATTTCCGCCGCAAATCGGGGGGTAGAAAAAACTGAAAACAAGTTCTGCCGCAATTCTAAAAAAACGCCGCAAATCAGGAAGAAATGCCGCAAATCCAAAAAGGCGCCTTTTTTGATTTGCGGCAGAAATTTCTGCCGCAACGAATCTCTAGGTATGCACAGGCTTCAGCAACAGTGGGGCATGCTATGCTGGTGGCGGTCTTACAAACATAGGTGCCATGCGTCCATTGACTGGTGATTGGCTGGTGCAAACGCTTGGACAATGCTGCTGAAGACGTGGGATACTCGTCGTGGCCCGCGCACACCGTCAGATGGCTTCAATCGGCGACATACCATGGAGTCTCTGCGTCACACACGCGATCTGGAATGAACAGGGTGAGTCGAAGCCAGAAGCAAAGAACCCCAAACTCATCAACCACTGCTTGACAATGGACAAGAGGGTTACCCCTTTCTGGCAGGAGTTACACTTTCTTTGTTTGCATCCCCTGCTGGTCCCGGCCGAACAATGAACGTGAAACAAACAAACTGATTCACCTCAAAGCTTCGGAGCAAAATCTGAAAAACACCCACACCCACACACGCATGTGCATTACAAGAAGTCACCAGCTTGTGAGAAGCGCTCTTGAGGATTTTACGCTTTCATGTGTACAAGTCACAAAGGCATAGCATCAACTGCTCAGTTCAATAACTTTATGCCAGAGATCACTGCAGCGCAACAAACGTTCAGAAACCCGGCGCCTTCACAACACCTCCAGCATCTTCGGACCCGGTTCGTTGGTTCGTTGGTGAAGATTGGGCCGCTAGGGACCCGTGCGCTAGCGAAGCATCCTGACCCGGCTCACCGAAAGGCACGGTGGCTTCAGTGATGCGAATGCACAGGGCTCCCTGTGTCTCCCCTTTGAAGATCACCGATAACCACCAAAAGGGGAACTATAGCGACTCCAAACTCATGTGAATATAATTCGGGGATCTGCCGGAAGTAGAGGCGCACTACAGCCATGCACGCTGTAGCAATGCACGTCCTGATTTGCCATCATCCCAAACCTCAGCCGAACGACTGTTCAAAGAAAAGGTAGGCGAAGCAAGGCAATAGACATTTCCTGACTTATTGGTTATTGGCTATCCAACGCCGGAGGCAAGTTTATCGTGACGCTTGCTGTGGCTCGAGTTGACTCTTTGCAAAAGGGGCCGTCAGCAAAAATGAGAAAGAACGAGGTCGCGTGGGCAATGCGAGAGAAGTGCGGTGGGCTGCACAACTCGCACCTACTCCATCACTAAGACTCCATCACTAAGTTGTCCAAGCCTGGTCGAATCAGACATGCCACCTGCATGATTGTTCATCCTTTTCTGGGCTATTCAGAATGCGGAGAGATCCCTAGTACTTGATACGTGTCCAACACTCGAACCCACCGCCATCCGGCATAATCAAGGATCCTGCGGATTGACTTACACAATGCTTGAGGGCAGCCGTCACAGGAAGCCAAAGGGAAACCAAAGGGAAACCAAACCCAGTTGGGTTGGGCTGGGTACCGGATCACACAAAAAAGCCAAAAAACAAAAAAAAAAACAAGGAACAACAACAAGGAACAAAAAACCTATTCCAGGGCCAGTTGGGTTCCCCAAATTTGAACTCAGGCTTCAGTGCTTCAAGTCATTGGGGCCCGCCACTGTCGCTTGGCGCTGTTCAGGAAGTCCCGCAATCTTGGCACCGCGGGGAAACCCTTGTGTGGACTGTACAGACAAACCACAAGGAAACCAAACTCGCAAATCGCTAACCGAACTGCACCACATCCGATTTGAGCCCACCCTAAGACAACCGCCCAAAACCTGCACCAACGGCTGGGATGCCTGAGCCTTGCACCCACCCACCCACAGCTGCTCGAAGACCCCACGAATAATTCAAACCATTGCCACCTTTTGGCTGGCAGTGGCAGGGTGCAGCCAACGCCGAAGCAGCGCTACACCGATGCAACATTTACGTGCCACTAAAATTGCCTTCCGAGAGAGCGAGCAGCTTTTTGACTCCTGCCAATGAAGAGCGCTAAACAGGGGGTCTGGAAAAATCAACAAATCACCAATATCCGTTTGGATTTCCCTTTGGGTCAATTGAGCTAGAAATTATGGGCTTTCTCGCCAAACAACAATGTGGGGATTGTCCTCTCATTGACTTTGGCACGCGTCTTTGGCCACATTGTCGCGCAAGCTGGAACCCCCACGGTCGTAGCTGCAGGTCAGGCTGCTCCTACAGCATCAAGGACACAAGGTTGGAAAAAAAGGAGGGGAGTTGACCCCAGCGCGTCCGCTGGAGCAGGTGACCATGATTTTCCCCGGCACATGATGGTTCTCTCTGCTTATCCGTCGCAGTTGCAACTGGAAGCACTGGGGGGAGGGCAACTTGGGCATCATAGCTATCTAAGGCCTCGAAAAGCGATGGTGGATTATTGCTCACCTCAGCCTGCCAAAGGCAGAATTAATTTCGTGGCCGGCCCCCGAAACTTGCAGCAGTTGCTGTTGGTTAATTATATGCGCGGCCAGCCGAGCGAATGGGAGGTTGATTGAAAAAGAGGTCTCCATTGTTTGGCATCCAGAACCCGCCATGGTTTTAGCAGTGAATTTCAGTAGACATCTTCGACAGCTTCCACAGCCAGCTTGCCTCCAGCAGATACAATGTCCGCTCCAGAAGCTCTACCGCCGCGGTCTCCTTGTTTCTCGCGAATGCGTCCGGCAGTGCAAACTCCATTGGGCCGTTGCAAGAAGGCGGCATGTTGTGGAAAACACATGCTCCACCAAGGCAAGGAACGAATACAATACATTCACTCAGTGCCAACATGAGCATTTTTGTTTGCGTTGGCTTTGAGGATGCAAAACTGTCATGTTTGGTCTTCCTATAGCGGGTCGTGAAATGCCGTGAGCTGCCATCTCAGGACACATGATGACAAAACATCTCAACCAAGCGGACACACTCGCATCAAGCCCAACCACGCGGCGGGAGGGTTTGTTTATTTTCCTAGGTTCGCCGGTTTTACAGTAAGTCTTAACAAAATGCACCAGTTTTACACCAGCACAGTCCCCTAGCATCGCGTTCAATACCCCCGGCATCACCAAAAGCTTTGGTTTGGGCTGAAATTGGAAGGTTTAGAGTTGGTTTAGGGTTGGTATAGGGCTTGCTTAGGGCTTGTTTAGGCTCACTTAAGGGTGGGTTTGGTAAGTTTAGGGTTCAGGGTTGGTTGTGGCTAAAGGGTTGGAAAAGGCGTGCTTCGGGTAAGCTTTGAGATAGTTTGGTGAAGTGTGGGTTTGGGGCTGGCTTTGGGTGGGTTTCGGGTGGGTTTAGGCTGGTTTAGTGCAAGACTAGGGTTATTGCGGCGCCCCCTTTTCTGCTCATCGGACCCTCACAGGGGAACGGCAGTTACCCAGCTAGCTGTTACGGGCCTTTCCCCTGGAGCCCAAATGTCACAAACACACGGGTCAGGATCTCAAAAACGTTCACGACGTGCGAGTGCTGTCCTCGAGGCGGCCCAGCAATTTCTCAACCATCCGCATCCAATCTGCAAAGGACCTGCCGCAAGCTCAGGATCCGGACTTCAGAAACCCCTGGCTTGGCCTGACGGCACACACTTGGCTGTGGTTCAAAAGATGGTACCCAAATGGCACCTTGGCAAATGAAAACTCAGACCAAAACCTGCGTAACCTTGGTCCTTAAGTTCGAGCCTTAATCACATTAATAAACAAAACCTTGCCGAGTTGCGCGTGGTGTTGACAAATTCCCAGCTGAGATGAGACAAGGTGTTTAGCGGAGCCATGTTGACATCAACAACCAGCGCCATGCTGAGCTCACTGCCAACCGGGCCGGCGCCAACCGTATCCTCGGGCTTTGCTCAGCAGAATGCGCCCGCTTTCCGGTGTGCGAATCCATTTGTCCGAGGCTATGTAACTGCTACTAACCTCCCGGAACACCAGCAAACTTTGAAATGCACAACCCCCTGTTTAGACACGGCTCTACTTTTAGGAAGCCAGCCAACAAAAACAAGAGTGCGGGTGAGAGCATGACACTGGACAATTGTTCGGCCACGCCCCAAGCCGTGTTGCCCCCCCCCCGGCGTCAGTATGAATGAGAATAAGTTTCAATTAGCCTTGAAGCTCATTATCAGATTGGGTCCCCATCATGAAACAGTCACCCCCAATCGGCAAGGAAAAGAACCAAAGTCAACCTTCAGCCGTCAAATGCTCACGGGCCCATTGTGAATGTGAGTGGTTCCAGCTATCCATTCACAAAAAACATGTGCGCAGTCAGGTTTGCGTATCATGCGTTTGTATCTCACGATGATTTTAAGGAAGCAAACAATGTGACTCGGTATCAAAACCAACTTGTTCACGTGCGTGCAATCTTCGCACGTCGTATAAAAGTGTACATATATACATATACACACCATCTATCTATTGCTAATATGCATGTGTGTGTGTGTGTGTGTCGACGTTCAGTATTCAGGGAGGAAGGCGCAAGCCGCGCACCTTGTGTACAGTTTGCCGCATAGGCCAAACATTGCACCTTTCATGCTGAATCAATGCAAAGTGCACTGCCATTCTGAGAAAACCTCCCGACTCGTTTCACCCTGCACTTCGCTGCAAACGTCCGAAAGATTCGGGCATCTTTCAGTTCTACATCTCAAACATACACGTGCAGGCTGCAAACCAATGAGGCAAGTTTGACTCGCCCTTGTACTTCACTTTGTCTTGCCTTGCGCCGCACCTGCACGCGCCTCTGCACTCTCCGACTCTTTTCGTCCCGAAAGTGGTATAAGCAAGCAAGTGCTGGCACTCATGCCTCCCCCCCCCCCCACAAAAAAAGAAAAAAGAACAAAAACAGCAGATATATGCTCAGCATGGACCCGTGGCACCCCGCCAGCGTTGCTGGCCGCAGGGTACAAATAGGCCAGCAGGCTTGAGATCACCTGGCGTCAGGTGAGCAAAAAGCGCAGGATGGTTCACCCCCGCATTTGTTGGTCTGTTGTGGGGGTTGGAGCTTTGGATCGGAGCGACTTGCCAATTCGTTCAACACAGGAACCGGGGGGTTCAATGCCAAGCCACTTCAAGCCACAAATTTGGGGAAACATGTTTTGTGGTTTTCTTTCCAGTGAAGTGATCAGTGCAGATTTTGCAAACTGTGTCCTTCATGATCTTGAATGGGGCTATAATCTATTAAACCCTTGCTAGGGGCTTGTCCTTGGCTTATCCTCGGCTTATCCAGGGATAACTCCCCCCCCTCGCCTTTCCCTTCCTTGGAAACGGCTCATTAAAGGATACAACCAAAAACTACCCGGAAGGGGTGACAGTAAATAATGAAAGAAGGAAATGATGAAAACCAGATATGAAAAAGATAGCTCTCTTCTCTTTACCATGTTACACGTTAAGATTTTTGGAGCTTCTATAGTTCGGTTTGGAAATATCATGGAAACTCACAAAGAAAGATAATGTAGATGGTACAGGTGATGACTCACTTCTCCAAGTTTCCCCTTTAAGGGGCCTTGGAGGTCCGCGGAGGGACCTTCAGCTGCGACTGACTCCGCCTGCTCCAGCTCGGAGAGGTACCGAAAACAGCCCTGGACCTGGTCCACCTGGGCAGGTCGGTTGTTGTTTTGTTGCGGGGGTGTCTTCAATTGGGGGCACAGCTAGCCTTGGTTGTTTTTGTTTTCCGTTTCACGAAACATTGGGGTAAGCACCAAATAAGCGAAATAAGCACCTCGCCTTGGCCTCACACATTCGAAAACATCGGGGTGGGGAGGGGCTTGGGCCGCGGCGGCATCAACCACCTCGGTGCTTCAAGGCATTGAAAATGCCTCAATTGACAAACTTGGTCCTTGTGTCCCTGATTCCTTTCTTTTTGTGGCTCCTCTGCCTGATGTGGGAGGTCATGGAATTAAACCCAAGCCCAATGAAATCCAACAACAGAAGCAGCTTGCAAAACAGAACCACAATTCGCAAGAGCAATCAAGTGCGATCCAGGGAAGACTCAAGCCTCCATGATTTGTGCTCTTGCGAGCATGGCAAAGAAGCTAAAAGGTCACGCTCAACTCGCACTTGGCAACGCGTTAAGCCAAATCTGGCCAAATCCAAGCCATAACGAAGCTACCTTGCTGCCCTCACCAAACCGTGCTTGTTGCTCTTGCAATGCTTTTGGGTTGCTCAGTCAAAACGCTCTGTGTGCACTATATACTGCTCGTGTTTTTTTTTGGGGGGGAGGGGGACTTACCTACAAGTAGCACCCAGTTTCACACCTAGCCCGGACCGCCCTGGGCAGCCAGCAGCCTCCTCCAGGGTCCGCAGCTTCACCTTGTGCGACCTGATTGGGCTCCCGAAGTCTTGGTTGCTGTTGACTCTGCAAAAAGTTCAACTTCTTGTGGGTTTAATGAAAAACCAATTGTCTTGATTCCCAAAAAAGTTAAAGTCTAAAGATCCAACCAAATAGCAATCAAGAAATGGGGGAAGGTGCCCTGAATGCCTTTCTCCATTTGGATGTCCACGTGGTCGTTCACCCAGAATGGTGTCCATCATAGGTGTTGGCAAACGGCAAAGTCTCTTCCAACTCATAAAAGGGTACACCTCCTTTCTCCTATGTGGTGTCCCGATCATCTCTAAGGGGGTTGCTTCGCCTTTCGCGCCAAGGCCGCACCCCATGCCACGTCCGCACCCCAAAGGGAGTAGGGGGTCAACTACCGGTATGGACATACTTCAACCAGCCCCAGCCGTTGCACTTGGAACTTCCGTGCTTGATCGCTTTTTGATGCCCACCCCTGACAAACGCAATGTGCGTACATGTAGGTTTGTTCGCGTACTCTGGGGTGAAAGTAGGTGGCACAGATTCCTTTGTATGGGTGAGGATGACTGATCTAACATGGATTTTATGCCATCTTTCACCCAACTGTACCTGGCTCAAACCATAGCCACAAATGGACATGTGTCAAAGTAGAAGCCGCAAATTGTGGTTTCCCTTGCGGTTTCCTTTTAACCTTCAAGGTAAAAAGGGGATACCCTCAACAAGAAGCACGCGACTCACAGCAAGCCCCGACAACTTCGCGCCGGCCGGCCTTACGAAGTCCGCCAAGGCCTTCGACAAGCGCTCGCCTGGGAATCAGCACATGGGGTCGAGGTGTTTTTTGGGTTTTTGCCTGGGGCTGGGTGTTTTTTCCTAGTGCTGATTTTTGATTTTCCGCCTCCCCAGCATTACGATCGGTCGGTAGGTTGGTTGGTCGGTTTGCCGCATTCCTGCCGTCACCAGCCTCGCTTGGATGTAGGGTCGCCTATTGTCTGTGATTGGGTGGCAGTTGGGTGTTGCTCGGGCTTGGTTAAATACGTGTGGTTTCAGGCTGGCTTAGATCTTCCTGAGGGGTGGGTCTTGGGTGGTTGGTTTGAGGTTGATTTAGGCTCAGCAAAGGGCTGACATAGGTTTGATCTTGGCTGGGTTTGGGGCCTGGGGTTCGCTTGGCTTTAGGTTTGCTTTCGGCTGTGGTTATAAACCAGCAGCACGCCTAACGCAAATCAGCTCCAAACGAACCCCACACCCACCCAAAGTCAACCCGAATCCCCACCCAACAGCAGCTTGGATGGCAACAAAAAGAACACAAAACAACCCAAGACCCACCGCGAACTGCCAACCAAGCAGAGCCCTTAGGCCAGCCTAGGCCCAAGCTCCAAGTGAGGCTGATAAACCAGGGAACCAGACCTAAGAAAAGCCAGCCCGAGAAAAAAACACGCAAATTCGAAGGGAGACGCACAATTGTGGCTTTCCTCTTGGCAACCCTTGGAATACAAACCAGAAGGGGTCCGCCATATTCAGCCCATCTCACATTCAAAAGCCACCTGCTTCAAAAGGAGATCCTCCAAAGTCAGCTTTCAACGGTGAGTTTGACAGATTGGCCCACATGCATCCTTTAAGGGACCCGCTTAATGCTGCTTGCAGAAGTTCTAGGCCCAGAAAGCAAGAACCAGCCCTTACCGTGTGGCGCCCTTTAGCGTCACGCCCGCGCAAAGCCTCAGAATACGACACAACTTTTCACCTGCATCTTGGCCCTGAAGAAAAGGCAAAGGACCAGCCGTGAACCCACTGTGCAGGTCGGAGGTTGGTTGGCCTGAAGGGGTCATGAGATTTCTTGAGGAAAGCCGCCCTCGAGGCTATGGCGACGATCCGCATCCGGGTCAGTGGAGAAGGCGAGCATGGTAGTGACCTTGGCTGCTTGCAGCCATTTTTGCACGGGCAGAATACAAAGTGCCGGATCGCAACTTCAAATTGCGAGTCTGATGAGGTTGGATCAAGTTCGATCGCCTGGATCCGTTGCCCGCCACTCAGCTTGTTTCAGGACCTGGTCATGTTCTTCAATCCAGCATTGGCGAGCCACTGCTGGCGTTTCACACCAAATGCCATCCGCTCAAAGCTAGCATGCCGGTCTTCCCCAAGCACTCAGCTGCCAGCCAGCATCAGATTCGCCCTGTCCCTCTCCTGCAAAGGCCCGACCGAGGGATAAACCCTGGTCAGATTTTGACGGGGAACATCCCGCGGGTGACCTACCATCGCTGTCACGGAACGGAAGGGACCCCTTCAGTTGCATGCGTTGGGACGGGCGTGACAAAAGCGCTGTGCTCAGTAGGAGGCCTGGAAAATTGAAACATGGCTCATCCCCCTTATATACTTCAGGGGGAAAAACACATGACCTTCTAGGCCACTTACCCAACCTCCCCCGTCCCTTCGCAACTTGAGGTCTCCTGGTCCGGCAACTTGCCCAAGCCCAGCTGCCACGCCGCCTGTCAGGCAATGACTCCCCCCTGGGGGTCCCCCTTTGGGATGTTCCTCAACGATGGCCGAAAAGGGGTCCACGAATCTGCAGAACAGTGGCGGGGGTGCATGACAATTATGTACATGTCAGGCGTGCAGACACGGTAAAGACTCCATTCACCTTCTTGTTCTTGCTTGGAACAGCTGGCACAAGCAGCTTGTAACATTACCCCCGGCGGAGGCTTCCCTCAGCGATGCCTTCCAACGAAATTCCCACAATTGGGGGAATTTCCCTATTTCTTTGCCGGGGGGTCGATCGAATTCATGGGAACTCATCCCTGCAAAGGGCTCCACCGGGAAAAAAACCGAAAAACAAAGATGATTCGAATCGCCTGCCACTCCGGGGACTCAACGGACACCAGCTCTGCCACGAAGGTCCTCCGAGAACTTGCTGTACCAACCGCTTCTTTAGACCCACCGGTTTCTTGGGCGAACCAAGAGGAAGGAAAGTCAAAATTCCGGCTCAAAACAGGCCGCCTAGGACTGGTAAAGCCGCGTTAGGGTCAAAGAGGAAAAAACAAATCATACCCATCCCCGCAGTGTCACTTTCCTTTCGTGGGCATTGAGAAGTTCAGATGGTTTTTTACGGCTGGCATGAGAAAATGCATGATCATGTGGAAAGACTTGTTCATCAAATGTGTGGCTTTATAGAGTTCCTAAAGAACCAAGCACACCCCCCTTCAAGACCCATGCAACAAAAAGGCTTGATGCGTACGATGCATGAGCAACTAACTCCTCGCTGGGCCGCTCGTCCCCCGCGCACATACAAGTATTTCCATCAGGGACACCTCCAATGTATTTCTCCTTTTGGTGTTTCTTCAAACCATACCCTCAGCAAATGCTATCGGTGTCGGCAAATGGCGCATCCCGGGGGGGGGGGAATTGCCAATTAAGGTTCCTGGACGTGCGTGTAAACACAAGCCGGGTAATTGCCCTCCGAACAGACATATTGGCGACTCCTTCGGATTCATACAGTAATCCAGAGTCATTGGTTTTTACGGTCCTCTTGACAAATCCGAAGATAGCACTACCCATCTGTGTAATACACATTCGGGATATGTCGTTTGAGAGGTGCTCTGCTTAGACCTTTAGAGCCGCAGGTTAATTTAACCTATTAATATCCTCCTACTTGTGATTCCTTTTTCGGAAATCAAGTGTGGGTTGCACAGCATCCATGTTTGGGGGGTGTCAAAATGTCCCGCACGACAAAAGCACCCAGCGCAGTGTTTTTCAAAGTGAGGACTTCCTTTTTGGTATGGTTAAAAGCTGAACCAGAAGGAAGCCAGCATCTTTTGGCGGTTGGATTTTGAACAACGCCCACGTTGGTCGATCGTCAGGCCTGAAATCCTTCATGCTGTCCCGACTGCCGCTCAGCGGGTGGCGCTCAATGAACTTACACACTGCCTGACGACGCGGGCGGTGACTCGCCCTACAATGGCCAAAGCTGAGGCTGGCCTTGTGTACGCCCTTAGGCAACCTGGTATCTCTCTCTCTCTCTCTCTGCCGTTCCATCCAAAAGGGCTCACTTCGTGAGGCAACGCCTTGCCATATTCACAGTGGCCAAAGGACCAACCCTATTTTTTGAGGGCCGAAGGAGAACCAAACAGAAACATCACCTTTGAAAAAAAACACTTTGAAAAGAGGGCCCTCCTAGAAGGGCCTGACCCAAACCAACTTGGGCTTGTCCATTTTTAAAGTTGGTTTAATTGAAAGAGACGCCAAAAGGAAAGCCACCCATTTTTGCCCCCATGCTAAGATATACCCATTTGCATCCTTGCTCATTTCTACGTGCGCCCAGTCACGAACTCATCAAAGAGAGAAAAATCCCCTTGACGAGGAAGCCCCCCAGTTTAGAAGACCACGCCTAGAGACAAGGCTGCCCTTTTGAGGGAAAGCAGCAACAAGAACGTACCAGTGTGATCCCCCCAAGTAGTCAGCCGGACAACCCTGTGGACTTCATTTCACACTTCTGGATGAATCAGACGGTCTTCGTGAAACGACGCTGTACTCGAAAAGGCGGGTGTGGGTGGGAACCCTCCTTCGTTGCTGACCTCATGTCCGAGTTGGGCGTCCTGGCCAACCCGAAGCATCCATGACTAAAACAAGTCTTCAGTTGTCCGAGTTCTTGCTTGCCCTGAAACGTCAGACTCTCTGAACAAGGACCTATTCAATGAATCTGTTTTTCTCCGTCAGTATTCAAATTTTAGAGGGAGCCCTGGGCAGCCCTGGCAAGAGTCGGGCCTTCAGACTCTCCGTCTCCGGCTCCACGCCTCCGTTCGGCGCAAGCAAAGTGAGTCTTGGATTTGATCCCCCTGAAATGTCAATGAAACCGTCTTCTGCTTGCGCTCGTGCTTGGTTTGGCTTGCTCTGTGTTCAATGCGCTGCTTGTGGCTGTTCGCTGCTGCTTGGGTTGTATGAACGTAATACATGCACACTGTGTGATCTTATATGCCGATATTTTGTGAATGTGCAAGACACAGTAAGTCCATATTCATCCTGTGTATGCTTGTGCCCTGGAAACTGGTCCAAGCGGGACCAACAAGAGAGCCCCTGTTTTGACAAAGACTCCTTAAATATCCAAGTGGGAAAAGGGCAGACTTGTTGGCAGTCAACTTCAAACCCCTTCCACCAACAAAGAACACATGAGCACAGAGGTCGGGCTAATTTCATGCTCCCACATATTTGACAATGAACATACCACACACATAGCGGGGGAAAAACAAAAAGTTAACTGAGCCTGGGTGGCCCCAAATCCTTCAACAGCTAATCCCCTTCTCCGGCACACCCTCCAATAGTCCCCGGCCTGGCAGAAGCCCCAGCTCGGGACCTACCGGAGCACTTCGGTGCAAGCTGAAAACTGAAAACCGTTTGTCAGAACCTGCCTGGGGTCCCCTTGGTGAAGGCCCACTGCGACAAGTTGCTCTCTGACTTCCCCCCCCCCGAGACACGGCTGCCGTCCTTCAGCCGGCATCGCCTCAACCTCACAGGATGCCACTTGCTCCCCGGCTCCGCTGATATCCGGTTGTGTTTGTTGGAAACAGCTGAAAGCCTGCAGTGGTTTCCAAAAACAACCAACCCCCGTGAACGCTGCCATGGGAAAAGGCGGAAAATGCTGGAAACCAGGGACGCCCCACCCAGCAGCCATCTTTGTTTTGAGGTCCCACCCAGTTGCGAGGGGTCGATAAAAACATCCGATCCCCATGGCCGGGTCCCACGGTTCTCAGCCCCACCTGCGCTGCTTTTGCCGGAGCCAGGCGCGATGCGGAAAGCCTGCAGCGCCCGAACGCCGGACGTACACAGTACGCAACTGAAGCATGGGACACAAAATTTGGTCGCAAGACTGAACAAAAGTCTTCAATCTGAGCCTCTGGTCTCACATGATTCACATGATGGGCTGAGGCGACATTCGGGGTACAGATTCTCCAGCTCCAAGCCTACAAAGCAACGAGAACCTCTTCCTCGCATTGGCATCATGTTCCTGATCCGGAATGAACACGCGCACTTGGGTGCGCGCCCAGATTTCTCCATCATCTGGAGTTGAACCTGCGGGCTCAGGCGGGCGAGCCAAATTCAGAATCGCACGTGCAATGGTTTTCTCACACAAATGCTGTTTCCAAAACAAGCGACACATGCATGTCTCAATGCATGTCCTATACTGCCAGCAAGCTGTGTGTCAAAGATGTGTGATCACTTGATCACGCACATCTTAGACTCAGCGGTGTGCGCTAGCTTCGTCGGACTCCACGACGCCCTCCTGAGATGTGCACCCGGCCGCGGAGCCTTGCTTCCCCTCTTCTTGTTCTTCTTCCGCCTCAACACGGCCGGGGACTCCGTTTTGGCCACGTGGGGCTCAAACTGGAGAAGGACTTGGTGCCACCGAAATCGAGCACCACCTGCAGCTCCTGCCGCCACCTCTCCACATCCTCCTTGGACTGCCCCTGGCTGATGGCACATCGCAGCGCCGAGGCGCTCTCCCGGTCCTCCGCCTGCTTTCGCAGATCCGTGGCGCCGTGGGCAAACATGCACTGCTTGCCTTTTTGGCAGTCGTGGCCCCAAAGGTGCAAATCTTCGTCTTCTTAAGCCCTGCCATCCCTCACGATCTGGCAACTTGGAAATGCTCGAGCACACGCATGGCAACGAAACATGCGTACCAGCCCTACATAAGAGGAGCGTACCACCCACAACCTGTTGAGTACTGAACACATGGTAGCCAGTTCAATCAGAAGCTGGCTAGGAGTCGGAGCAAGAGTAAGAACGGGCAATCACAACGCAATTCGTGAGCAAGCGGTCCAGTTTGTATGAATGACCCTCCTGGAGCTGCAAGCACCCTTTTCCATGGCCTTTGGCAGGGATCCTGACATTATACACCTGAACATTGCCGTGTAAATGGCGGTGTCCCTTTATTTTGGTGTTGAAAAAGCCACATCTGTCAAACCGTTGCAACATGTAGATCTTTTAAGGAGCCCTTGGGCTTGATTCCAGGGCCCAGGGGCCCAGGGGCCCAGGTCCCCGGCGCCTGCCGCAAGAGTTGGTTCACATCCTGCAAGGGCAGGTGGGTGCCCAAGTGCCGGGCCACCTGGCAGGAAGGTGCCCAGTCAGGCCGCGTCCCGACGAAGCTCGGAGGATGCGCGGCAGCTGGGCTGTCAGACGCCCGGCGAAAAATGAATAACTTTTGGGTGAAATGGAAACCACCACTAAACCCCAAAAAGCTAAAAAGCTAGGGGGATGGCTGAGAGCCACCAAGATGGCCTTTCTGGAAAACAGAAAGGCGACCGTTGGCTTGCTCCCTACTCATTCGGCCTTCGCCACCGCATTTCGTCTGGCAGATGTCTCGGCAGGAAGATCCTCTGTCACATACCTGGCTTCCGCGGCCGCGCTCGACTTTTGTTTTTTGCAAAACACGGATTCGATGATTCGCCCTCATGACATGCCAGTTCTTACCTTTGTTGCTGTTGATCCTGCAAAAAGTTTAGCATGTTTTTTTTTGCGGTTTAGTAGAAAACCCCTTGATTTCTCAGAAAACCAAAGTCGAAAGCTCCAACCCAATAGCGGTTAGCAGTCAAGTTACCACATTTCAGCGGCCCTTTTGGCGTGGGAACCGCGAATGCGAGCGTGCTCCATGCCTCATAAGGGACGCGAAGGCAGTGACGCAGCTCGGCGGAGGCCCTCACGGCAACGTAGCCGGGAGATCGCAGTCCGCTGGTTCCAATCAAAAGCTCGTTGTGTCGTGTCGTCAGTTTCAAGTGGTTGGTTCAGCCAAATGACAATCAGCAAACTCAGCATGCCAAGTGGAGTGGGGAGAGCCCTCTCATTTCCAGCCGCAAGAGCCAAAAGCAACCCATGGCCAATGACAATCAACAAATGTGAATTAATGCTTTGCGGCCGGCTGCAGTGGGGGAAGCCAGCCACTGCGTGCCAGTCATTCTCTCTTCGCCGAACAGAAGCACGTGTGGCAAGGCATCGTTGCATGAGTCCGGTCGAGAACCTGCAACCACCCATCACCCAACGAAGCAGCATGGCCGAGTCCAAACAAAAACCTGCCAACAAATATCTACAGCATCTCAAAAAATATCACACCTGCAACATCTAGTGATGTTTCTGCTTCTCCTCCAAAAAATATCTACAGCTCAACGCAGCCCCACCTGCCACAAACCCGGCCCTTTCCCCGCTGATCTGAGGCCAAAGGCCGCAAGAGGCACCGGGCTCCACAGACGGCTCCTGCCTGAGACTTGTGGTCGGATTTCCTCTGGATCATCCCCGTTTGCCGGGGTGGTGGAACGGCCATTTCTCTGGGCTGCCCTCAGATAAACACCACTAAACAATAAACAGCTGAAAGGCTAAGGGCATGGCTGGGAGCCACCAAGTTATAGCATCAAACACTGGCTTGACCAAAGCACCTCTACCAAACGCCCGGAATGTCGGAAGAACCCCTGCAGAATGTGTCTCTCGGGATGAAGGATCTTCTGCTGAGAACTCGCCAGCCGGGAGTTCAGGTGTCACTCTGTCACCCTGCGGGTGTTGGGCCAATCGCTCATGTTGCAGGACTCATCAGAAATCATGGGCCAGTGCCAAAAGCAAATCCCGGATTGTTCTGGTTCCACTACGGCATGTGGAGCCTGCGACAACCAGAAAATTACGTCCTCACATGGGTTTCTAGATCCGGAGAAGTGCAGACAAGAAACACTTAGACCTGAATTCGAGGGGCTAAGTGGCATGGTGCGAAACGCGTGCCCTCCCAGCGTGCCTGCTCAGTCTCTGCACCTCTTCTGGCGCCAAGCCCTCCAAAGGGGGCAGCCTTGGAGCGCTTGACCCATTCAAGTTTTTGAGCATCCCAGCAGCTGAAGCATGGCTGTGGACATCCCCTCCCCATGACTGCTTTTTCTAAAACCCAATCCCCCACGACCATGAGCCGAAGCCAAGGCAAGGTCGGGGCACGAGAGAAAGACACTCACATCTACCTTGACATGCACGCAAACAATGGTCGCCGCTGCCCTTCGAGCGTTGCCTATTGGCAAAACGCTCGCCCGTCAGCCGCCAACAAGCAAACAAGCAAACAAGCATGCAGGAACAAACAAAACAAACAAACAAACAAGCAACTCAACTCGGCTCCACTCCTCTCACCCACACCCCACCCCACATCCAGCCACCCACCGAAAAATGGCTTCCACTACATCCCCAGGCACAATCAGGGTATACAGCCTTTATGCAGTGAACTGATGGTGGACGTACACACACACATGTATATATATATATATAGGCTTGGCCACATGTATATATATATATATACATACTCAATATGCATATGTAAAATGTATCCCAAACCCTTGGGTGGTTGGGGAGTAGTGGAAGCCGACCCTCCGTGTGCCCGGCTGATCTATGGGTGTGGAAGGCACCTCCAGCAAGGTCGGCCTTCTTGGCGCGCTCAGTGCCGGGTCCTGCAACGAGAGCGCATCCAAGATCTGCCGGGAGTCGTGGCGTCGGATTGCCGGGGATGCCTTGTTCATGTTGGTTTAGAGGGACACCAAACAAAGAACCACCAATTTGGGGAGGGGGGGGTCCCACTTCTCTTTGCACGTACTTATACGGTGATACTGTGGATGGACTTAAAGTCCCGCAGTTGATAGTGTAGGTGGTTCATCCAAGTCGCGCGGAGCTTCATCCATCCCAATTGGCGCATGAGAAACCAATACAAAGTGACTGGCGGACAAACCCTCCCCTGTAAATGATGTTTGGTCTCCAATCAAAGGCTCGTCTTGTCTTGATTCAGCGCCAGATTTTCCAGCCACATACCGTACCATCTAACAGCAAACTCCTTCATCCCGCCGTGAAAGTGGAAATGCAAGGAACTCCCCGCCTGTTTGTGCTGGAAATGAGGACGAGATGGGCAACCCCACGATACCGATCGTCCCATCAGCCTCGATCTGCTGGCTGGCCTGCTCCTGACTGTCACCTGAGCCAAGGCCGACTCGCACCGCTCATATCATACACTCCCCTTTCTAACAAGTCCACCCCTATTCAATACGTATTTGCCAGGCAAAAACCAAAAACAACAACCTCTCTCCTTTTTAATTGGGTCCCCCGTTTGGCGGGCGGGGGAACCGTCAAAATTTGAATCTTGCGAGAAAGCAGTTGAAATGGAATTGGTCAAGGCGCCTGCTCGGATTTGTGGATTTGATTAAACAAAATCCGAAGGGGTCCGCTAAAATGCAGCGAAATACCTGACTCAAGGACAGGAAGCCAAAGCCCTGACCCAATTTCTGGCCTTGAAGCCTTGAAGCTGCCTCGTAGCTTGGAGGGATCCACACATTTGACAATGCCCCGCACAGCCTAGAGGATTGTTTAGTCCAGATTGGCAGATGGTGAACCAGAACTAAAAGGAATCACACATGTCATATATTTGCACGCATGCACCTACGAGTACCTGCAAATGCAGATGGGTACACACACACACATATATATATATATATATATATATATGTGTGTGTGTGTGTGTGTGTGCACGCTCAACTACATCTATCGATACACGCTCCCGCAAAATCACGTGGAACAAAGAAAGAGATGAGATCTGTTGGGTGCTATGCAAATGAATCTGCAGGTTGTCATTTCTGAAACCTGGAAGAAGGTATTTGCAAGGAATGGCCGAGCTTACTCCGAGCTCGCGAAAGAAGCAATTTGAAGCCCTCCCGCTCGGGGCCCCCTGCCCGGCTCTGACTCTGCGACGCCTCCGCGAAAGACACGGCCGAAATATTGCTTCGGTCAAGGGCAAAGTTCTTGTTGTTTAAACAGATCCTGCTCAGCCTTGGTGAGACCGCGCGCAGGTTTGCAAAGTTCCCCAGCGACCCCTGAGGCCAAAAGCATTCAACCAGGGAAAAGTGGCCCATTTGATAGCGCATAGTTGGATTTTACATCCTTCCCCCACCCACCCACCCACCCCCCGGATCAGCTCTTCTCGTTGGAAAGCGCTTGGACCAATCCCCCGCCTTGCGGCGCCAGCGGCGCTTTGCGCGGCCGCCCGCGCTTTGCCTGGCGAGTTGGCGAGTTGCGGCGCTGGCTGTGAAGCCCCGAGCATCCCACAGGAGAGCTCCCGAAGGGAGCAAGCACGCAACCAAGAGGGCCTGCAGAGCAAGGCAAGGCATGGCAAAGAAAGCGAAGCGAGCAATTCACGACTTGCAAGGTACGAAAGACTGGCGCAACACAAGCAAGGCAAATCTGGGTTGCCGCTCGAAGGCACGGGGTTTGGCCCTTCGATCGCTGGCTTGCTTGTAAACAAAAGAGCAGCCATGAAGGAAGCCCCCAATTTCGAACCAGAGCACTTTTTTGACATCTTTTGATACCCTCCCAGCAATTCACATGGAACCCGACAGGGGGTCACTTTGAATGAAATGGTCTTCCAGGACCCCCCGAACGTCAAGTTCCATGTTTATTGGTTGGAGGGTACCTCGCCGTCCCCATGCCCCCACCGCATCAGCGCCGGCCTGGCCCGGCGGGGCGCCTCGGAAACCGCCAGCGAACCAGCGAGCATCCTTTCTCCCGCACGATGGCGGCTACTGGCGTCACTGCTTCGACTATTTGTTTGGTGTTTTTGTTTTTTGTTTTTTGTTTTTGCAAAGTCTATCATAGGGGTTGCTGCCTTTGGGCTACCAAATAGGTGACTTGGACCGTGATAAAACAATAGGGCCAGCAGCTGATGACAGGGCCTCACTGAAGAGAGCTCCGGCTCTCAGGTGCATCCCTACCCTACATCTGCACAGAACTATCCACTCAATTTGTCCAAAAATGTGGTTTCCTGTTTGCATCCCTTTGAACAAGTCTGAAAAATGTTCCCCCGCCATGACAACACAACAAGAGAGAAACAAACACCCGGGGAGGTCTAAGGACATCCCCTGACAGCCCTGACTGGGCTTCCCCGACGTGCGGCCTTTGCCTCCTTCTCCTTTGCCTTGGCCTCTGCCTTGGCAGCCTTTGCCGCCTGCGCTGCCTGGCGGGAGGAGGAACCCTCTAAGAGGTTGACCGGTTTTGGGGAACCGGGGAACCCACCAAACAAAACGGGATCGGATGATCTGATTGGAATCCAGAACTGGGTTTAGGGCTTGTGTTGCTCAGAATGAGGGATCCCTGAGCCATGCTCGGCCTTGCTGCTCTGTTGGCAAGGGAAGGAGCCCCCAAGGGCAAAGGTCTTTTCAAAACAGCACCTCGAGCAGCTCAGCTGCATTATGCCAGAAACAAAATCCGCGTCAAAACCCGTGAATGTGTTTTTAGGTGATGGGACGTAGGGCAGCTGCCGATTAAGCTTGAATCCCCAGCGCGAACGGGAAGCTCTCGGCGCTGGGCCCAACTCGAAGGCAGAAGCGTGTAAGGATGAGATGGGACAATTGACATGTAAAGAAATGGTGAGCGTACCACGTGGATAAGCAAGTCTGGGTGATGAGCCTTGATGAGCTGTCTGCCTCGATGACCACGGGGAAACTACAGCGCTTCCGTTCAACTAAATGCATCTGGCTAGCATGGGTACAGTGGTCTGTCCTGCTTTGCTCGGATTGCCCCATGGCCTCCCGTTCTTTTCGCAGCTTCTCGCTCTTCTTGACCTTCTTCCTCTTCTCTTTTGCGCGGATGCGAGCCTTACCCGCGCAGGTTCCGGCACATTTCCACGACGGGTTGGCTCAGTGCAAGCAGCAGGTCCAAACCGAGCGAAGACACTCAAAACGAATGCGGGTTCCCAAAAAATCGTGGTCACCCAAAACGGTTGGTTTTCTATTCCCCTTCAATCGCAAATCAACACGGGGCCCACCATTGTGAGACACACCAACCGCTTGCGGCCCTTTTCGCTTCGTTCATTGGCGAGGATAGGAACTCGGGCAAGTCCTTAGGCTGCAGATTCAGGATCTCCAAAGATTCTCGCACGGCCGACTCTTCCCAGGAGGAGAGCGAACCTGCCTCCAGGATGCCAGACAACTCCTTGCGCAGACTTTGGCCCCGGCAAGCCAAAAAAATCACACACAAAAAAACACATGTTGGCTGAAAGTACCCCCCCCCAAAAAAAAAAAGAAGAAGAAAGAAGAACAACAACAGGAAACCAAAGGGGCAAACGGGCGGACAGACATTACTTGGATCTGGCAATGTCTCCTGCTCCAAAGCCAGGACATCCGAATTTCTCGAGGCGTCCAGGCTTGCTGAGTGCAGCGATGTCTCCGTCCAAGACTGCTGTGAGCGCCGGAGGTTTGACCGAAGGGGGAAAGAGCCTCACTTGCAAAGCCACAGACAAGCATCAGTTTCCCCTTTGACACGCTCCTCCCACTAACACGGACCCCAGTCCGTCTTAGAGAAATTTTGTCGTGGGCCCTCAGTCAGGTTCCGTGGTTAGGGGGAGGGCGCGGTGCAAAATGAACTGGGCCAAGAAGCCGTGAGCCTCGGAAAGTTTACAGTAACCTCGTGTTGGTCTTTTGGGCCATCGGTCAGGGCGTCAGGGGTAGCAAATGTGCCTCTGCGTGGCATCTGCACAAAGTGACGTTCAACTCAAAAGAAAAGCAAAGGTCCCTGTCAATGGCTAAGTCGTTGGTGTCCATGGTTAGAATACCACTACCTTTCTAAATGTGATCAACTTCTCGGTGCTGCATAATTGATCTTTGCCATAGTTTGCCTTTCTGGTTGACAAGCTGGCTGTGCGTCAGCGGAGTTTTCCGCCATAGTTGAGCTTTGCGGCCAAACTTTCATGGACAAAGCCCGCACCAGTTGGGATCGATGCCTGGGATAAACCGCCCTGCGCAAGAAATGGTTCGATGCGAAGCAGGGTTTGTCCATCAGTGGGGAAAACGCAAACCCCAAGCTTCCATTTGCTTAAGCCCCCTGTCAAACAAAGGTAAACTATTTCCAGTAGTGATAGATCCCCTTTAAAACCAACAAGGGAAAATAACAAACTTAAACATATATAACACTCATTTCAACAACTGGAAGCACCGTCCCCTTCGGCTGCCGACGAGAGGCCGGAGCTCATCGACAAGCGCTTGGCGCTGCTCATCTGCTCAGCCAGACGCACCTTGACAAGCTGCAGCTTGGCCTCCGCGTGGTGCAAGGCCTGCGCTGGTGGAAGCTTTGCTTGCCGCCAAGGTCCCAACTATGTACCCCTGGGTAGCTGCCCCTGCAAAATACCACAGAAGCTTAAATACATATAGAAATCTTTTCGCACGTGGTTTGGCCCCCAGATTGCCCCATGAGGATACGTTCCTAGGGACCCATTCCTTGTCCATTCCTTCTACGGATCCAGTCCTTCCACTGCTAACCTTCTAAGGACCCGTTCGCTCCAGGGACCCAGTCCTTCTAGGGATCAATTTTCGCTATATAGGGATCTATTCCTTCTGGAGATCCGGTCCTTCCGGGGGTAACTCATTCCTTCTAGGGATCCATTCCTCCTTCGGATTCCTTCCAGGGTGGTCCTTCATGCTTCTCACACCTGGGACAAGGTTTGCATACCGATCCCCCCAGAGGAAACCGCACGCACCATTACGTCCATGGCGCTTTCCAACAAGCTTGTCTAAACAAGGATAATTACCTCTTCCTAGGGACCCACCATATGTCATCCCTATGACCTCCCTTTCAAGGGGACCCCTTTTCGATGGAAAGCCAAGTGAAGGCGACGACCAAACATCCAGAGAATGGACGGTTGACTAGGATTTACTGGGACCAGCCACTAGAAAGATGAACTGACAAGAAGCACCGCATTTCATGCTGGACTTTTGCGTTGGAGCCCTAGCTGTAATTGTCCAGACCCCTGTTTTCGGAAAATGGCCGAAAACTGCGGGATCGTGCTGATTTCGCAAAGGGCGATTTTAGGAATGGACTGGTGGGGCGCCGGGTTGTCCAAAATGGTGAGTCAGGGAGGCCGCTAAGGGAAACCACCAGTCTGGCGATTGAGTAGTTTTGAAGAACCCCAGTTTTGGACGGACGAATTTGGAGGTGGCAATCAAAAACCAATTCGAATAATTAATATTGTCTCTAGGTTGCACGGATGACACATGGATGAGACAGTCATGGAGTTTGACAAGGTGGTTTCCGCCTGGTTTCCCTTCGAAATAACCGAGAAGGGTACCACACTCACATGGCCCTGGACAAACTGTTTTGTTTTAGTGGTCATTTCTAAAACGAAAACTCGGAAAACGTGGATGGACGAAATCCTGCACCTAAGAAACCCCGGCAGGATGATTGCCCTGGACATACCCACAAACTATGCTGTCCCATGGTTTCACAGCGGTGCGAAATGGATTTCGTTCATTCACAGCATGTTCCACACATCCGCCTGGTCCTTCTCCGACATCTCCGCTTTCAGCTTGGCTCCTGGCGCCAAGCTAAATCAGCTAAAAGGCACCAGGGCACCTGAAACGAAGCAACGACATCAGGCAACACAAAGAAAAAACATGCGGATGCACGTGCGCATGTATCATCACATGCCAGTATCAAAAGCATACATGTGAACACATGTATATTTGATGTTGTGCACATGTAAACCGAAAGTATACAACTACCAATTGCTACATGCGCAAGGATGACTTGTGCAAGTACAGCCTGTGATTGTCATCCCATTTGGGTCGCAGACTTTGGGGATGGCTCCACGATTCGAAGCCAGTGAAGTGAGGACAATCTCAAACACTCAACATCAATACGCCAACATGGGGCAACAGCATCTTTACCGTAGTCCAGTTCCAAGCTTGAAGCTAGGCAACTGGGTGTTACTCAATAGGATGGACCCCCTTTGGGCTGCCAAAGGGAAGCAAACCGGAAACAGAGCATTTAGGACAATACCGGCAATACCCCTATATAAATCGAGACCAACGTGATTTGAGCGATCTGAACCATCCATGCGCATAAGTTTCTAATTTGTTCTTCATAGGCTGCTATTTTTTCTTCTGGGATCGCTTGTCAAGCATGCTGTTTTAGTCACTTCCGAGAAGGCAGCTGCTGGGAATGAGCAAACCAAAACCATTCTGAACCTGGCATGATGAGTCAGTTTGCCCTCTCGAGATGGACAATGCACCCCCCGTGGTTACCTCCAGCCAACCAATGGTTGGCACAAAACCCCTCAGATCCCTATGCTTTTGGGGATCCACACAGATACCTTTGATCAAGATGTGTCCCTTCTGCCATCCCCAAAAACAAAACATACAAGTTTCATACTCTTTCAAATTAAGGGAAAGCACGGAGTCTGCATTTAAGTGCGGACCCTGAACAATATTATGGCTTTCCAAACGTACTTCGGGGGTGGGAGTTTGGAAAGAACTGGGGGGACGCCTGTCTGATCTTTGCGAAACTGGACACTAAAATACTTGCTCCTTTGGTTCCGAGGGGAAGCTTAAAACAAATTGCGTTGTTCACACGTAATGGGTGGTCTGGAAACACACGCACGTCCCATTTTGGATTCCTTCCAGGCGCCTGACCCCCGCAAAACCGGAAACCCAAAAAAAACCTTCCTTGGTGAAGGGAAATCGTCGCCGCGCGATTCATTTCTCCCCCCCCCCCCCGCCTGCAGTGCTGACGCCACTCTCCGACTCGGGCTCAGCCTTGGCCTCCTCTGCCTCGCTCTGGAGGTGCTTGATGGCGGCCTCACCGGTAAAAACCCCGCGCACGTCTACATGATTGACCCCGGATTCATAAGACCCGTGTTTATCAATATGGGGGCGGGTGCCAGCCCTTCCAAAAGCGATGAGTCTCTATTAAAACCAGGGACACTGCCGTATTTGATGAACATGGGCCGGTTCATCCGGGGTCAACTTCACTCAAACTGTTCTTTTGGTTTGATCATTGTCTAGTGAACCCACAATGCTTAAAGCAAGGAAGGGGCTGACTTATTCTCTTGTGGGAGCTTCTCAATATGGAGCCTTTTCCCGAACACCAACAGTCAACGCTAAGATAACATGAATTGTGTTGAAGTGTATGGGTGAAACCTGGCTGCTTCAAATAAAACAAACTCCCTATTTTGGTTGTCGAAGGGAGAACTTCCTATCTCTGGACACTTGAATCTCGTGGCCTCTTTCCGCGCCAGGTCCCGACGGGTCTGCTGCAGCGCCCGCGCAGACTCCTGAGCATGGAGTCGGGTTTTTGAGGAAAGTTGCAAATCCGGGGCACTGGAGGGCCACCGCCATTTGGGTGTGTGCGTGTGCCAATAGAGGGGGGGCCCCCAAACTTGTGGAGTTTCCTCTTCTTCAGAAAGCAACAAACGGAGCAACTCCACCTGCATCTTTCTGTTCGGCACCTCCTCCAGGTGCATCTCCTCGGAGCTCTGCTGGGCATCCTCCTGGCACCGCTTCTGCAGCGCGGCCACCAGCGCCTTCTTGCGCTCCACGTCCTCCGGATTGGAAATCCCTCGCCCAACAATACTTGGGTGCGTGCGTAAGTGGGTGGGGTGGGGTGGGGTGGGTGGGGTGGGGTGGGTGCGGTGGGGTGGGCTGGGGTGGGGTGGGGTGGGGTGGAGTGTGTGTGATGGTACCTCTCTTAAGGTTCGTTTGAAGGCAGGTCAAAGGCAAAAACTCTTTTGGGCTCGGTTCACTTGTTCCCCGGTCAGACAACATGTTCTAAATGCTGATTGACACAAACAGCGGCCGACACAAAGTTCAAAGTTCCCAGACGAAAACGGCACACCAATCCGGCCATCATTTGGGGTCCAGCAAGCAAAAGAACACACGCAAACAAACAAGCAAACATACATACAAACAAAGCCCCCCCCCCCCAAAAAAAAAAAGAGGACAGTGTGGCGGGAAAGCGCGTCAATGCGCCGGGTGCGCCGGGTCACGCGCACCACAAGTACAAACGTATATGTAGCCAAATGTTGAAAACATCTCACACACACACACATGTGCACACACAATTGTGGCTCCAATATCTATGTGCAAGCTTTCCCTCAGCTCGAGCTCGGATCCATGCCTGTGTGCAGGCAGGGCAGCGCACGCTGCTGCGCAAACATGAAAGCGTAGGCTGTCTAAGGCAAGCGCCCAGAAGACCTTCGCCTCAACCACCGGACGTTTCTCAAGGTCCGCGCGCGCCTTGAAGCCTCCATGTCATTCAACATGGTCGCTTCAACAATGTGACGGCCGAGAACTGTATCGAACCGTTGCCGTATCGCATCGAACCGACTGCCGCGGAATCGTATCCCAGCGAACCGAGCAGAAGTTGGGAAACATCGGGGCAAATGGGAAATTCCGACCCCATCTTGCCCTTGCCAAGGAGGATTTTGTAGTCCCTAACACATTGCTTGCACTACCAGACCCCATCAAGCAGAAGGTGAACAAGGGCCTCAGATGGCCCAACTTTTGCAAAGCCGGACCCCGGCGGCTTGAGAAGAAATCAATTTGTTACCACAAAGGAAACTTGGAGCGAACCTTATTCTCAGAAGTGCTTGCCCCCAGGCATCCGGCACCAATGCATCGCTACCTCTGGAAATGGCCTCGGGCCAATCGCATTCTAATTACAGACAGGCCATCCTTGATATGGGTGGGGTTGCTTTCCACTGAAGAAAGAGGGAAACTGCCCTCTGGTGTGTTGTTCTCTTCTTTCTTTTTTTTTGGGGGGGGCCCAACATTTTGAGACAAACCCAAATGCGACCAAAACACACCTACTAAAGTGATTTCGCACAGCCAAACCAAGTCCAGGAAACAGAGGATGGCCTGGAACTATTAGGGCCTAAGAAATTGCTTTTTGTAGGGCTGGGCCGCGTGATTTTGTATTTTGCTGCGTGGGCTGATCTGGCAGTCCACACTGCCACAGTGATCTCTTTTTTGCAGTATAGGTCCACAAATCGATCTGTAGCCGAAGGAGGCCCCCACAAAACAGTTTATTCCGGCCTAACAAATTGATTGCAGAACAGAGCCGCGAGAAGCAAACAGAGGACACACCTTGGCAGAAATCAATTTGTTAGGCTTAAGGGCGTTGTCAAGCAAACGCACCTGGCACAGCGCTCGGGTGCGCTCGGGTGCGCTCGGGTGCGCTCGGGTGCGCTCGGGTGCGGTTGGCGTGCTGAGTCACTGACCCCTGCCGCATTGACGAATGGCCAGGAAAGGAAACCAAACCAAACAAGACAAACCAACCATTCCAACCAACCAACCAACCAACCAACCAACCAAACAAACAAACAAACAAACCAAACCAATCAGCAAACAACAAGACACACACGCACGCATGCAAGCGCGCACGCAACCAAACAAACAAACAAACAAACAAACAAACAAACAAACAAACAAACAACCAACCAACCAACCAACCAACCAACCAACCAACCAACCAACCAACCAACCAACCATACAAACAAACAGTTAACAACAAAAAGACACACGAGCCCGCACGCACAAATAAACAAACGGACAGACAGCCAGACAGACAAACAAACAAACAAACAAACCAACAAGCAAACAACCAACCAGCGAGCCAACCAACGAGCCAACCAACCAACCAACCAACCAACCAACCAACCAACCAACAAACAAAGACACCAAGCCAACACAATCAGCACAAACAAACACCAGAAAAAAAACAGCCAACACACAGCAAACCATGCGGAACCTGAGGCACGTCTTCCGTCTTCCCGTCCTCGCGGCTTGTCCGGAGCCTCTGCTCCGCCTCCTTCACGCGCTCCCGGAGATCCACGGCGCTGGTCTTGGAGGCGCTGATCTTCTCCTTGAGCCCAGCTTCCTGCCAGCAACTCTTCTGCGGCTCTTTCCTTCGCTCTAGCAGGTTGGTTCGGTTGGTTCGGTTGGTTCGGTTGGTTCGGTTGGTTGGTTCGGTGCGGTTCGGTGTGGTCCTGGTGCGGTTGGTTCCCTCACACAACTTCCCTCACACAACTTCCAAACCTCTGGTTGATTCCTTGTCCATTCTTTTCAGCCATCGTTCTTTTCAAAAACCGATCAGTTCCCCGGGGTTTTCGTGGTTTTCCAGGAACAAGGATCCCTGGAAAGAATGGGGAAGCTACCCCTAGATTCGCAAAGGTTGAACACTTGGTTGCTGTGGACCCCCCTGCAAAAAGGTTTTACTTTTTGTGGGTTTAATGGGAATCCCATTGTCTTGATTTCCCGAAAAGATAGAGTCTAAAGATCCAACCCAATAGCAATTAAGAACACAGGCAAGGACTTGTGTTAAGACATTCCTGAAATATTGTCCCACAGGAACCCATGGTCAGGTTCCATGTTTGTGGATGGCTTTCCTGAGCTGGACACTCGACCGTATTAGCCGAAACTAATAGGAAATCGAAAAAAAAAAATATCCTGGTCATGCCGCCCGTTCAACAATATCTAGGGGCTTTGTTGGACATAATGTGCATGGAGGATTTGCATCAACCAACCGGATGTCAGGGGTTCTGTGTGAACAAACATGGCCATCTCCCACGGTGTCTACAGCATGGTTGATTTCATGGCGTGCCCCTTTGAAAACTCAGACCGATTTTAGATATTAAATACCCACACAGCGCATGCGACGTCCCAAACCTGCAACCCAACGTGCTGAATCGGAAACGGTTGACTCATAGGGGGGCCCCGTTTTAGACGGAGCAGAGCTTCACTTTCGGGGAAGAACGTCTCCTCATTTCGGCTGATGAATCGGGAGTCAACATTCAGTTTGGCCCACATCTGGGGTACACAGCAATCAGACTTCTCACATGGGGTATTGTGAATTTGTTTATGACATAATAGCCTAGTCGAATAAAACAAAAAACACAAACATGGCTTTGGAGGAGACGCCTCTCCTGCTTCTCCTCTTGAGCCAGAAGTCTTTGGACCTGCTTGGTCTTGGCTTGCTCTGAGCGCTGGGCTCGCAGGTCTTGCGAGGACGCGCTCAGCTGCATTCCTCCTCACTACAACCCGAAAACGCGAAATCCAAGGTTCACTCTGTCGGACCTTGACGAAAAACGCAAAACCTCACCCAATGCTTTCATCTTTTTACATAGTTAACTCAGAGAAGCCCCTAAAAATATCTCAGAGGAAAATGGCTGGATACCTGCGGCAACTGGGGACCAGGGCAAAGAAGCGTGTCAAAAGTTGGGTCTGGGAAGCTGAGCCTCCGGATGGCGGCTTTGCCTCACGCAGGCGGTCGATCTCTTTGGCCATGGCAGTGATGCGGCCGCGGGCGGAAGAGATCTCTTTCAGCAGCACCTGGGGAGGCATAATGTTGACCCCGGACGAATAAACCCCAGTTTATTCATATGGAGGTGTTCCCCTCCAAAAGTGAGGAATCCCCACTAAAACCAGGGACACCCCTATATTAATAAACACGGGTTTCTTAATCCGGGCAACACTAGGCCCCTGAGCATTTGGGCATGGGTCAAAATCCCGGTTACCCCCCAGTGAACATCAACCAATCCAATCACTAAAATAGGTCCTAAAATGGGTGGTGAATTCACCTACCCCACAACATTGGTTTTGACCCACGGCCATTTCAAAGTGCAAGCCTTCCTTCCAACTTCCAGACAATGTTTCGATGTTGCTTTCCCACCTCCCCGCTTCTCAGCCCAGGCCAAAGCATACAAACCTGGTCGCAACACGCCCGAAGTGTCACCTTCCGCCCACCTCCTCGTCCCTCTGCGCGGCGCGGGCTGCGGCTTCGGCCTCCTTCGCCTGCATGGCGCCCTGGCGCTTCGCCAGCTCCAGCTCGGAGCTCAGCCTCCGCGCCTCCGCCTCCAGCTCCGCGCGCTCCCCCGCCAGCGTCTCCGCCTCCGCCTCTTTCTGCTTCAGCGCCGACGCCTCGTGGAGCTCAGAAGCCGAGTCGCGGATCATGTTGGCCTCCGACTGCTGCAGAGCTCGCAGCTTGCGGTGCCACTCCTCCCGCTCCTCAGCTCGCGCCTTTGCATCTGCCATGGCTAGATTCCAGTCTTCCCCGGGCCGGGAAACGCAGGCTATGAATGAAATTCCAGCCCTCACCCCCCCGCCCAAAACACAACAATATTTAAGGGGCTGGGGACTCGAAACAGCCAATGTTGCCAGGCATCCTGCTTGAAGCGACGGTCCTGCGTGTGAAGCCTGGCCTCTGCCCTGTGCAAGGCAGATTCCAGGAAGTTGCTCCTCCCAAACACTTCGAAGCATCTGAAACCAAGGCTCTGGGGAGCTTATGTGGAGTGCAAGGCTAAATTTTGGAACTTTGGCCAACAGTCATCTTGATTCAGCGAATGGGAAAGCCCTTTACTCATCCCGCCACTGTCCTATTCTTAGAATGCTCACCTAGAACTGAGCGAGGGCTGGTTTTCAACTCACATTCCATTGGCCAAACACAAGTCCAAACTAATTGCCACGAGGCCAAGGAACGCAGGGATGAATTTCAGCAGGAACTACCTCACCTGAATGATGCCCACCAAAGGGTCCTTCGTTGAATAAACATCATGCCATACAAGGAGTAAGACAAATACACATGGGGGGTGATGTCAAACCAATTTTTGCCATGTGTTGTTTTGTCTACATCTACACAAGAATCAGGTAATTAGTTCCACGTTACACATTTACAGACTCCGGTATTTTTTGGACAAACAAACAAGCGGGGATACGGAGGGAGCGGGGATATGGGGGGATTCCCTTGGCGCCATTTCCCATATCAAACATAGTCAAGGTCTCCCTGTATCCCTGCTAGTTGGTTTCCCTGAGTTTTGTTGCCCGTCCCCCCAAGTGCCCCCTCCTGTTCTCCAACTCTTCCGCCACACGCTGCTCCTCGCGCGCCTGGCCCCGTGCTGCCCGCAGCCCTTCCGCCAACTCCTGGCAGGCGACTCGACTCGTGGGTTTGGTTTTTCTGGGGGCTGCGCCGTGGGAGTCGCCTTTTTCAGGCTGTGCCGTTGAACGAGAATTTGGATTAATTACTTGTTCGAAAAAGACAGCGATGCGCATGGGTGAACTGGATTTGGATCACTTTGAAAAAGACTTTGATTGATCACGAGAAGCTGCCCTGCGACTGAAAACCCCGTGGCTGAAGCAAATGGCTCCCTGCTTCAGGAGGCCCCGCTGGTGCGCCTCCTCACCCCGAATTTCAGTGGGAGAGGGGACAAGGCATGAACCAACTTGATTCATTGGTTCGTCTGGGATGTCTCTCAGCCTTTTGGCGACTTTCTCTGGGACGAACAGAGCAGTCCCTTTGCGACCAACTGTCAGGTAAGACGCTTCTATATACCTGTCCTGATCATGGGACGGGGTCGTGCTCAAACGTCTCATGCGCACCATAGAGAACAAGTTGTGCCAAGCAACATCTTGCCCAGCGTGCCAACCGCCTAACAACAAACGCAGCCCAGAGCGGGCTTCATAAGGACAGGTGCGCGTTGCTTCGGCCAAGCACTATTCCCACAGCGGATCGGCACTATGCGTTGAGAACTGTGTGCCAACTTAGGACATACTCTGTTTTTGCAGGCCCGTGTTGAAACAAAGGAGCCTTCCAGGTTCATTTCCTTTTGGCATCCTTTTCAATTCCGGCAGCATGCCGCCAATTTCACCAAGCTTGGGTCCAGCCCTATTTTGACACTGCCCAGTTGAACTTCGCCCGCGCCGCGCCTGGCACGCTTTGGATGTGTGCTGAAACTGGCCGCGGACCTGCTCCATCTCCTCTTCGCTTTCCTGCAGGGCGGTGGTGCGACATGTTTCCCTTGGGGTGGGTTCGTAGGTGCCCAAGCTTGGATTAACATCCTGAGAAATCAGGGAACGTCTCAAATCCCGCTAAGCGAATCATGTTGACAGACTCGGTGCGAAACGTGAGCTGGTGTAAGCCTCAGGGAGGGTACCTTTAGTCGGACAAACCTGCGTGTCAGTACTTTTCGTAGGGCGTTTCGAAGTTGAAGCTGATCAATCTGAAGTGGCCATTACTTTTTGATGAGAGCCTCTTCGCCCGAGCAGGTTTCATGTGGGTCTCTGTCAGTCAAGGCCCACCCAAACGGGGCCTCTGGGTTCCAGTGTTTGCCAAGGGAAGCCAATCGCCGCTGAGGCTCACCCTGCCCAACGTTGCCCCTCCTCCAATCTGGTTTCTGCGTCGCGCCGCTCACAGGCGGCTGAAGATGCCAAGGACAAGGCGTGCACCTCGGCCCGCTTTGGCATGACACCGCATTGTACACCACGCCAAACTCTGGCGTGCCCGATGGCATCTCGAAGCTGCTAGCTCAAAAGCATGTCAGGTGGAATGAGCTGACCCTGGCATCTCCATATTGGGACCCGTTGGGCTGGGATGCTTCTCAAACGTCCCCTTCCTTGCTGCTCATCAGTTTTCAAGTATAAGTGTCTGTGAATTATTTGTGCGGGCAAAATAAAAGATGTGCAGTTGCCCATGTACGGCAGTACTCTGGCATTGTGTACAATGCTTCAACAAAGGCTACACAATGGCACCGTCAGGTTCTGTCATCTCAGACACTGGCTCCTCCTTGCAGCTGTCTGGAAAAGAATGGTGCACGCTTCGCAGATGTGCGACGCAATTGCCCGAAGCCTGGTTTCATAAGTGTTACTTGGTGCGGTGTTGCTCCTGGTTCGCTTCACGGAGATTTAAAGCCAAGAATCCCCGTCGTCCAAACATAGGACATCCCATAGCAATGGCAATCCACCACAAACGTTCCCTGGCGCAAGGCGCCGATGAGTTCTGACACAGGGCCGCCCAAACAGCCGTGGACCATAGAAAAGGTAGCGCCTTTCCTTTCACAGAGAGCAGGCTGGGTGAGCCGTGTTAAACATTCCGTTCCCCAGCAAATCCAGCTACGCCCCTGTCCTTTCTGGGCAGGTAACACACCCTTTGCCCAAGGAAGATACGTCTAGGGAGGGACTGCCTTCAAACGCTCCCCGGCCATTTTCAGCAGCACCCCACATCCCCAAATGGTCGGTCCACTGACAATACTTCATCCAAGCGGTGTTTGAAGGGTTTGGCAACCCCTCCTAAAGCTCAGTCAAATTCAAAGGTCCATCATTTTGGGGGGGACATAGGCCTGGAAACAAAAATTCAAAATCAAAACAATCCGTAGCCACCCCCTTGCCTGGTTAAGAGATACGTCAGGAACTCAGGGGCGACAAAATCCCTGGCAACGTCGCTGAGCTACAAATGAATTCCAAGGGTCACAACCTTGACGCTATGGGCTGTTTTTGCTGGAAGCGACCCCCCCCCCTCTGAATGAGGTCGTCTTTCCAGCCTTGACGCTGACAGGAACCAATTGTTGAACTTCAATCCCTCCCTGGATCACGCTTTTGCTTTTACTTCCTGCTTCCTTTTGGCTGTTTGCGAGTTTGCGCTGGGCTCTCATTGCCAGGGATGCTCAATACCTTCCATGGACATGGGATGACATTAATACTGTGTTTTTTGGAGACCCTTGTTTTTGTGTATGTTGTTTTGCTCCCCGAATCGGCGAGCCATACAGATTCTACAATATGCTTCCCCCCTCAACAACTTCCAAAAGGTGATCTTGAAAAACACTATACCAATCCGAGCTGGACCTTTCTTTCTTTTTGGGGGAGCGATGGAATGCAGGGACCCCTTTTCCCGGTTTCTGGAGGGGAAACACCAGCCTTAATTGGCAAGGGAACCCACCCTAAACAACTTCTAACAGGTGACCTTGACAACCACCAACACGATCCAACACGGGAAAATAGAGCTGGACCTTTCTTCTTCTTTTTTTCTTCCTTTTTTTTTGTGGGGGGGCGGGGGAGCAATGGAATGCGGGGACCCCATTTCCGGTTTCTGGAGGGGGGGGGGGTGTTTGGGGCTTGGGGCGTTGGCGCCTCCTGCTTCAGCTCCTCCACTTCCGCCTCCTCCGCCGCGCCTCTCCGCCGCAGCTCTGCGCCGCGGTGCTGCGCTGCTGCGAGCTCCGCGGCGAGGCGCGCGCCACGAACCGCGCCGCTCTGCAGCTGGCCCTGGCGGGCGGGGACGCTAGCGGCCGTAAACCGTTTCTGTTTCTGTTCTTGCTTTGTGTTTTTAAGAACTTACTTACGCTTGTTCAAAGAGCTTTTGAGTAATTGAAAGAGCATGCAGCAATTGTACTGTCTTCGCCTGGCATGTTATCACCTCGTGTCTAGCGTGCGTGTGGCGTATATTGTATGTAGCCTATATCCAACATACGTGTAACGTCAGCCAAGCGCCAGATCTGCCTTGATCAAACTGAGGGGGATCCCTCATTCTAAGTTGCAAGGGACATCATGGGCAACCAAATGCAAACCCGCTAGCATCCGGGTCAAGGAGAGCAACCCGCTACCATAACCCACCCCCGACCTCCCTCTCGCCTGCACGGTGCCCAACTGAAAGCGCAGCTCCGCCAAGGCTCGCCGCACCTCCGAACCGGGCGGCGCAGTTTGCAGCGCCGGCAGCATCGGTGCCTCCAGCGCCAAGATGAACACATCACAGCAGGATTGACTGTTGACACCCTGAGTCAAGCAATGTACCCTCTCGCCGACGGAAGTTGGAAGTGCAAAAAAAAAGGCCCTTTCCAAAAGGAAAGTAATTAGTCTTTCTACAGGGGTCTGTGCACTTCCATGTTAGCTGGTGGGAAGGTAAATCCCGGATTAACAAACCCATCCTCCCATGGTGAAGGACAAGGGGACACCCGTATTAGTTCACCAGAAGCTTGTTAACTCGGGGGTCGAATTAACACGAAAATGGCTCCTGGCCAGAATCGAAATCGACTACAACTTTAAGAGGTTCCTGTCTCGATGCTTGCAACAAAACATGTGTCAAGTGTCAAATGGTTGGCTCTGTTTGGCCTCATGTTAAGCCATCCGAAGGGGGCCCCTTGATGGTCGACACACGTGCGCTTCTAAGCAAGGGTTGTCGCCATGAACCGCCGATTAGCCTGGTCCAGGTGATGTTACCTGTTCAGACTCAAAACATTCCTGCGTGTCAGTACTCTATATGCATCGTACATCAGTCAATTCATCTATGGCATACATAGGTTGTGCATTGTAAGGCTGCCTTGGACGCCTTGACAAAATGGGTATGCGGTGTGCAGTGATCTTCACCCAAAACTTAAACCTGCTCAGTAAGTGTCTGTGTCTCTTCGTGTGTGCGTAAGCGCGTGCACGTTTCGTTTCGGAAACGACCCTCCGCGGGCTCGAATGCATTCATAAACGAACATGAGATGCCTGGCCCGAAACTGATCGCCCGGTGACCCCGGTAGAGAAAAGGAGCCACGTTGAAGTTGCCCATTTTAGATTCTGAAGTCTGAAAGTGGATTTCACTGAGCAACTACATTGAATCCCACACTCCTGGAACTGGCCAACCCCCACCACACAGCACCGAACCCCCCCCTTTCCGGGGGAAAACAGGAAACACCAATCGGCCTGCGCCAGCTCCGCCATCTCCGCCGTGGCCGCCTCGGTGAGGCGCTGATCCCTCGTGGCCGCGGCCCGCAGCGTGGCTTCACCCGCCGCCACCTCCTCCGCCTCCCCTGCGAAGCGAGGGAGGAAGGCCATCGCGGGGGGTGGAGTGTAGGCGGAGTTGCACTTTGGGGTTCAGTTGGTGTTCAGGTTGGGTGGATTCGGAAGAATCGCAGTTTGCGATCCCATCCCATTTTGGATGTTGTTGTGCGTTGTTGTGCCTGCCAGCTGCGCCCACAGGCCCCGTGCGAACTTGAGTGAGTGAGTTGTTGTTGCGAACTTGAGTGAGTGAGTTGTTGTTGTGCTGGGCAAAAGTAGGAAGCTTTGGCTATTTAGCACGGATCGGGACGTAAATACCCACCTGCAAACGGAAATTCACAAACGGGAAACTGACTGCTTAAAGTAGGTTGGTGTGAAAGGGCCGCCGTTGAACCGCGCCAAAAGGTCGATCGAGGACTTGTGTTTTGTTCAGCACATTGGGCCCAGCAGCAGCAGTGAGCTTGTTTATCCCGAGGCTCATCATCAGCAGCAGCGGCAGCACAACGCAGCAGACAGCAAACAGCAACAGCATTGGTAACGGCATTAGCCAGAGGAAGGGTTCGGACCAATCAACAGCAAGAGAAAGAGATGACAGCAGGCTTCGCGGACTTAAGGGGTCATGCGTGCAAACACCCCAACACACTGATTTGCAAGTCCCAAAGGCTGCGTCCGGTGATGCTGGCGTGCCTCCCCAAACCTCTCACTCCTTGCCTAGAGACATGGCCTCAGGAAAAGAAGGAACAGAGTCAACGCCCTGCCTCGCCAACGATCTGCTTTCTGACACTCCTCCAGCTGCTTCCGACGTGCATCCAGCTGCTTCTGCAGCAACTGCTCCTGCAATGTGTGCCCAAAGGTTCGGCATGCACGGTTTGCAAGTACCCCTTTTGGGAAGGGATTTTAGTCCTGCCATTCTTCACAATATGTTCAACACCTGAAAGAAGGGACCCCCCAAGAAACGGATCTTTACCATGGCAGTCGCTCGTTTTTACTCCTGGACCCGTGATCTCGCAGATAGTTTTCTCCCTTCGGCTCTTTTCATTCACGTATGTGAGTCCTAGAGCTGGACGAGAGAAGGGAGTTGAAGGAATGGCAAGGAGATGTCATGTGATGGGCCTCCCTCCAAAGCAGTGAGTCATAAAGACAAAAGAGGGGACCTATCCTCTCATTCACTTGTTTCTCCAATTCTCGCCAGTTTTTGGCAGGCGAGAGAGGTGAGTGGGAATGACATGATGGATGAGTTGAGTCGCTCCTGGCCAAGCCCCTTTGTCTCACACAAGCAGCGGCTGGCCAAGTTTTCAAACGAATTGGCCGGATTTTTTTCATCACCCCAGAACGACTCAACTCATCCCAGTGTTTTTTTCTTGCTTTCTTTTTTTCCACCCCATTTTTTTTTGCTGGGGTCTCGGGGGTGTGGTACAGCAAGTGAACTGCAAACGGCACATAACAAACGGCGTCACCATGGGGGGCAGGCGCCTTCCAAAGTTGCAACCGATCCATCGCACCTGCGACCGATCCCAGCTGAAGAGTGTGGGGCACTGTGGAGGCCTGTGGTTTCAAAGGTGAAAAGCCACATCAACTTGGCTTCACCCCTCTGCAAAAAGTTTAACTTTTTGTGGGTTTAGTGGAAAACCCAACTTGATTTCCCAAGAAGTTAAAGCCTAAAGATCCAACTCAACAGCTGTCAAGTCAACTCGGATGGAAAACGCGGGCCTCCGCAACACCCCCTTTTGCCGCCCAAGAAATGCCACGCCTCCTGCGCCTCTCGTTGCTGCAGCTGCAGTTGCTGTCTCTCCTGGGACCTTCGGAGCTCGGAGAGCCGATGCCTCAGTGCTCCATCTGGCTGCGTGTCTCGGAGGGAGGTGCGCTGCCCAACAAAGGGCCATGGAACTGAAAAGGAGCTTAGGGCCCTCCAAAAATCCTCTCAAACATCATGGATTCTTGGATTCTACCATCTCCTTGAGGAGAATGCCACCATTGACTTGAGGAGCGGGTGAACGAAAGCTAGCAGTTGTTGCATGAGATGGGTCGGTGACAGAGTGGATTCATAGGTAGCTTGTGTACAACGAGAGGCCCGGCAAGATTCGTAGGATGCGACGCGCATCCTAATGGCGTGGCAAACCTTGAAAAATGAAAACAACGAGAGGCGTCAGAAGCTGTCTGAAAGCACCTCTGGGTTCTGCATGCTGCGTGTGCAAAGATTCTTGCGAGGTGGTTTACCGAGAAGACTGAGGTCTCAAATGAACAAGCTGAATCGGTGGAACATGTAAAAGTTCGTAGCACCAAGTCCAAAACGGGCAAACCGAGACTGCTGAACACTGAGCCACTGCCCGGGGGGGGGGGATGGACCAGGGAGGAATCGAGCCTGAGACCGGGGGGGGGGGGTCTAAATAATTGATGTTTTTCAATCTTTTCGGCTCAAATAATTGAAAAAATCAATCTTTCGGCATTTGAGCCCCTTACCTTGCTTACGCAAGGAGAAACTTCAGCTAGCTAAAGCTAGCTTTCGTGATTTCCTAGCATTTCTGAATCAGTTGTTCCTGGGAATCTGGGCTCCATGAAAATGAAATGGCATGCTGATAGTCACATGTGGCTTGTGCTTGGATTGAACAGGCTCAGAGCCACAAGCGGTGTGAAATCTGACATCCTCAAGCTTACCCTCCTTCATTCGTGGTCCAAGCTGCCCAGCACCCCCCAACCCCCAGGCTTTCTTTGAAGCAAGCCTTGGGGAGGGTCATGCAACAAACACTCACACACACACACACACACACACCCCAAAAAAAAACGACAACAACCCTCAAAGGGGTACCAATCACCAAAGGGGTGCCAACTCCCCAGGGTCTTACAGCCATCGCGAGCCGAGATTCTCCTGCGCCTGCTTCTTGAGCTGCAGCTCGTGAATCTCCCGCGTGACGTTGCGATAGCCCTGGCTGACGGGCCGAGGACACAAAAACCGCCTGCCATTCCTTTTGGAGAGGGAAACAACCACACATAAAATATATACATAATATATATATATATATACATATATATATATATGTATGTCATAATCAACCAAGCCCGGTACCAAAGTGGCCCCACACCACATTTTCGTACTATGAAACCCTGGTTGATTTCTGGGGGCTCCAATGGATTTGACCCCAGAGCTCATCGATTTCTTGCGCCTGGTAGAGCTCGTGCTGCACCCCGAGCAACGCCTCCACCCGATGCAGCACCGCGCTGGACCTGAGTTCGCTTCGCAACGTGGTAGGGTCCAAAAAGCACTGGTTGGGAGCAGGAAGCAAACAAGGTTCCCAACCAAAGGGCAAACACACGACACACATGAGTGGGCGTTTTTCAGAGGGTACTTTTTGTATGTTGATTCAATGACATACCCACATGGTCTTTTGTGGAAACCCGTCTTGAAGTCCCATTTAAAAAGGATGGTCAAAGGCTGCGTAAGGGATTGCAGGTAACTCTGCTGTGAAGTAAAACACAATAGAAGAGAAAGCCTCATGGGATTTCTGGTGGTGGATTGCAGCTTCCCAGCTCCCAAATCTTTACCGGGGGCCTGCACATAGTTTGGCGGACCACTGGCTGAAACCGATCGGTTTCTTTCCTGAGAACCTGCGACTCCAAGGCTCTAAGGCTCTGGCGAGCCCGTGGAGTCATGGGACATGCCCAGGACAGAGCCTGGGCTCCGGTGGTGCCAGGCATACACTGAGAATACCCAGCCCATATCCCCATTGTGCTCAACCAGGCAAAGACTTGGCTTCAAACTTGTAAAGTCTCAGGCGCCATCGAGGTCTGAGGTGTTCAGCTCAGACAGGTTGGCTTGCTGCAGGTCTGCCTGCACCTGCTCACACCATCGCCTCGATGGGACCAAAACCGGAGCCCAAACTCCCAGCCGGGTGGTGACGAAATGTGACCAATAGGTTGCAGCCCTAGTGGCTCTCCCGTGCTTCGTGCTTGTTCGAAGGTGACGCTTAGGCCGCCTTTTGCGGGGTCCGGGCACGAAAGGCGTTCATTGTTTGGGGCAGCCCCTGATCAGGTTGATTCATCAAATGAGCCTCAGACACCATTGGTACCAAGCAGCAACCAGGACAACGGCAAACTTTCCGCGCGCCCAAGGGGTACAACCGCCCCCCCCCCCCCCTTCCACACATTACTTTCCTGGTGCCCAAAACGAGGAAATTGGTATGGCATGCATCTCTCCATGGGGGTACTATGCCCCTGCAATAAAGCGCTTTGGAGGTGATCTAAAAACGGACCGCGGCCCCATGTGTTGACAGGCGTCTTGGTCTTCGCCAGATCTTCCAGCACCAGGCTTCCAGATTGCGACCTCTTCCGCGCGTCTGACATCCTAGGACCAACCACGCATATACAGTTCCATACAGCTTCTACAAGACTTGTTCGTGTTGAGAGGCAACCAGGGGTAGGTTTGCGATGTAGGGTTTGTGGTTGAGGGCGGGTGGGTGTCGAGTGCATTTCGGATGGATTGACTAAACTGAAATAGGACATCGTGGCTGTTGAAAAGGGGGACGGTTTGTTTGGACCCTGGTGCGACCCCCTTCGGATAGAAAACATGAGGGCATCAGAGTCAAGAATTGGTTGACTTAGGCTGCGAATAGAATGGGAATATCTTGGTCCAAGTGTGGCACCCTGGAGGAAAAACAAACTGGCAAACTCACCGCAACATAGGCCACTGCAGCTGGGCTGGTGCAGAAAGCTACCCCTTAAAAAATAGAATAAAGCAAACAACAAAACACAAACACACTGGCAAACAAACATCATAATACAAAGGACAAACAAACACCCAGAAACACAACCAACCAACAACCACCCAACTACCCAACTACCCACCCACCCACCCACCCGCCCGCCCGCCCGCCCGCCCGCCCGCCCGCCCGCCTGCCCGCCCGCCCGCCCGCCCGCCAGCCCACCTGCCCACCTGCCCACCTGCCGACCTGCCCACCCACCCACCCAGCCCAGCGCAGCCCAGCCCAGCCCAGCCCAAGCAACCAAGCAACCAAGCAACCAAGCAACCAAGCAATCAAGCCACCAAGCCACCAAGCCACCAAGCCCCCTATTCACCCACCAACCCGCCAACCCACCAACACAGCCACCCAGCCACCCAGCCACCCAGCCACCGAGCCACCCAGCCACCCACCAACCCCAACCCACCCGTCCAACCCATCCAACCCATCCAACCCATCCAACGCATCTAACCGATCAACCAACTACCCACCCACTCACCCACCAAGCCAGCAAGCAAGCCAGCCACAGCCAGCCAGCCAGCCACAGCCAGCCAGCCGCAGCCAGCCAGCCAGCCAGCCACAGCCAGCCAGCCAGCCGCAGCCAGCCAGCCAGCCAGCCAGCCACAGCCAGCCACAGCCAGCCACAGCCAGCCACAGCCAGCCACAGCCAGCCAGCCAGCCACAGCCAGCCACAGCCAGCCAGCCAGCCAGACAGCCAGCGACAGGCAAGCAGGGAGGCAGACTGGCAGACTGGCAGACCGCAGACAGATCGACCAGGACAGGACAGGACAGGACCGGACAGGCCAAACAAACACAAAACACGGCACAAAAGGAGCACACCAATTCACCCGAAGAAAAAACATCTGGCGGGTGTCTGCTGGAGTTGATCCGCCAGGGACACGAGGGCCGGGCAGATCTGCTGGGCGTCCTGTCGGGTTGGCTGCAAAAACTGTTGAAAAAATGGCCCAATGCCTGCACAACCCAAAGGAGGATTTTCAATCACGGTGTGTTTGGATGTTTTTCACCTTGGGGTCCGAGAAAAACAAAACAAACATCTGCATCGCTCCTTCTGCGATCTCTGGGCCTCAGAGGCCTTTGCCGCCTCTGCCCTCTCCAGCTCAGCCTCCTGACGATTGGAACGCCGACAACTTGCAGGTTTCAAAGGCAAGCCTCGGGCCGAAGGGAAGTTTCCGAAGAAAAATGCGTGGGGTTCTTTTCGGTTCTGGGACCTGGTGAACCAAGAAGCCAGGGCTACAGAAGTGCAAGATTGTCACAAGGAAACGGGGTGCAGAAAGAAATTCCCAACTGGGGAAATCGGCTTGACCTGTTGATTGGACAAGGAGGATTCACACATAAGGGGATATTTCTGATAAATGAAATCTTTGCGAGCCCGTAACACCACAAGGTGCGCTTGCTCGGTGACTGACGGAGACACCTGCAACAATATCCATTCCCTTATAGCTTCTAGGTCCGTTATGGCAAAGCAGAGGAATTGCATCATGTCCTATGCAACGGGGATCATTTGATTTTCAAAAAGACTGCACCATTTCAGCGAAACTAGATCAACTGATTATGATACCGCAATGTTTGCTCCTCCCATAAAAAGGGGCCATACAGGGATCTTAGGATATCATTCATGTTTAGAACTACTGAATTGAGTACAATGCCTCTATTTGCGTTCAAACTCACCTGAGACAAACACTAAACCTCCAGTGGCCATGGCAAACAAAACGTGCTCTTTGTTGCCAGGTGTGCCTAATAGAAGGACGCCCCCTACAAAGGACCCGGGCACAATGGAACGACCTTTGGAACCCAAACTGACACGGACCAACATGAGAAAGCCACAGCTGGACCCAACTCCAAGGCACACAAACACGCATACTTCATGAGCCTGCTTTAAATTTTAGCCTACCTTAACGCCTGAGCATGTGAAATTAGTCGTTGAGGAGACCCGTGAAAGCTCATGTCAGGGCAATTCGCTGTGAACATTGGGGGGGCGCCCGCCCCGCATCACTGCTTGGACCCACAGATCAAGACGTAAACGATGCATGTCACAAAAAGCGCTTGGCAAGTGTCCCCTTCATGAATGGGAACCCTCGCTTCATTCCCCACACCCCCTACTGAGAAACGGCAAGATGAGGTTTTCCTCAACAACACAACCCTCAAGAGTAAGCGCCTTCTGCCGAGCTACTTCTGATGTGTATGCTTGGGCCCGACAAGAAAAAAGCCGAGGATTCCTAGGCGCCCCGTTGTCCACCGGAGCACGCGCCTGCCTTGGGAGTGGCAAGAAATTGTCAGGTGAGCTGAAACCTGCCTGGTGTGCTGAGATCGGGATTTAGACCCCAAAACCAGATCCCCCGCTAAAAGTGACTAACATTTAATGGGTCAAATGGAAATCCCCACTAAGCACTAAAAAGCTCAAAGGCGAAGGAACCGCATGGCAGGGAGCCACCAAGAAACATGGGCAACGGCTTTCCCCGCGCGACCGGCTCCAACTTCCGCGGGCGCGAATTCGACTTCCGTCCAGCTCCGCCACGCGGGCCAGCACCGCCTGCAGCTCGCGCTGCGTGTGGCTCAGCTGGGACTCCAGGGCCGACACCTACGCCGCGCGGATGTGCTTTGAAGGTACCCGTTCTTGGGGTTGGCCAAGGGGAGACCAAGGGAAAGCCACCAATCTTTGGATCTCGGGGGTGGGCTACAAAAGGAAGCCGCCAGTCTTTGCACGCTCAGCCGGTCGTAAGCGACACGAGTGGTAGAAGAGAAGAACAGAAAGAGGAGAGGAAATCCAAATTCGCTTGGGATTAGCAACTCTTCGTGAACCCACCCAACACAAAGGAAAAAGGGAACCCACCAAACAAGAGGGGCAGCGAGTGCGTGGTCGCTTTATTTTCCCGGTGAGCCCTTTATTTCTATCAAGGGGGTCAAAAGATCAACGCTGGTTTAGAGCCTCAATCCCACACCAATTTGCACCCGTCTGCAATTCTGTACTAAAATGTCAACTTGGCCCCTGACCCCCAACAAGCAACACGAATGGTACACTTTTAAGCTCCAAGGATTTGTGCAACAAGGCAGTCACGAAAACAGACAACCCTGCCCCTAATGATATAAGGAAACTCATGAGTGAATCCCTCCAAAGGGGTGCATGTATGGGGGAGGGTCCCTCGATTGGGGACACGGCCCCTTTCAGAGATTCCTCATACTTATCCCCGCAACTGCCACCCAAACCTTTGAACACGCGCTGAGTCCCAACCGAACTTTGGCGAGGGTTCCTGCAAGGGATCCACAATGTTCCGGCAGCCGGCTGCTCAACCTAGACAGGGAAATCGATATGGGCTACTGGCTTTACAGCCCACCAGATTGAAAATCGGCAACAAAATGCACAGAAGCGCCGCCCCCCTGGTTGAAAACCACAACAAACAAAAGCCGACAGCTTCTTATCACGCACTTGAGAGTTACCCGCCTTTCCTGACATTCGATTCCCATGCAATACCCATGTTTTCTTGCAATGTTTTCAGGCAAGCCGGATAATTACCAGGAATTGCACAGCTTGCTTGCGTTCTGTCGCCAGGGCCATTCCCTTGCACTCGGATATCCCCAAAGGCGAGGACAAGTGCACTAATCACTGATGGCATTTCAATGGGTCCAGTGCGCTATTTGCCTTCACTAAAGGGCAAGCCACAAGCCTGATCCCCATTTCACCCAAGAAGCAGGCAAAAGAGCCGGTTTATCGCCCACCTCCCACCACCTTTCCCCCCAAAAAACAACTCGCCTGCTGACGGCTCCGCTGGCAGCTGGGTGCAAACCGGGCATGCGAAGGCTGGGAAAGTAGGGCCAGGCGGTCTTGCCTCGGGTGGCCCCTCCGGTTCTTTTGCTTTGAAATCAGAATCAGCCAAACTTCACCTGCCTGACTTGCGCACGCTTTTGGCACTGAATTCAGAACCCGATGCTTACCGTCACGTCTTCCTCGTCTCCACCCCGCATATTATATTGCAGTGTCCATCTTTTGCTCCTGGGAAGGTTTCTCACACAATCAGCCGCTTGATCGATCTCTACTGTTGTCGCCATGCGTACAACATACACTGGCAGACACTGTACACACACAAAGACCACACATACCACTACACGAGCGAATAAACAAATCCCCTAAATGCATGTAAATAGAAATGCCTCAGTGACGCTTGTGCTTACTTGACGTGCGCGTTCTTGTCCAATTTGTCAAGGCCTCATAACCCCACAACTTAAGGGCTCAGGAAGATGTCCAACCAAATTGGGCTTGTATGCCTTCCTTTTGCCATGCCTAGATTGGAAGCCAAAGTAAACTTGCCAAACTTCGAAGGGCAGCTTTACCTTCTGCAAATTTTTGAGTTTCTGCTTCCTGTTCAGCTCAAAAACAAACAAAAAACGCCAACTTCCCATCTCCGAGCTGCGAAGCTTGATATCTGCCCGCGAGCTCCTCCACCTCCACTTCCAGCGCGAGTTCTCGCGCGGTCGCCAGCTGATCGCTGTGCCGTTCCGGAAGCCATGCTGCACAAGTCTTGAAGAGCCTAGCAGTCACTGGAGGCTTGTGGCTTTGGCCGCCCCAGCGACGCTGGAAAAAAGGGAACACCTTTGGTTGAATCTTTTTTAAGGAATCCAAACCAAAAGGCAAATAGGATGGAATCTGAGCAGATTGTGTTATTTGTTCAAACCCCCCGCCAAAAAAAGAAAGAAACAAAAAAAGAAGCTGGGTGCCACCGAACAACTGGGTGATAAAACAGTGTTCTGTATCTTTCCTCTTTGAACTCCCACCCCCCTACAGGAAATGTTCTTAAAACTGGCCCAAAAAATGATTAAACCCACCCAAAGCGACATGTTGATAGAACGCCCTGCAAACCGGGTGCCAGACCTCGGTTTGTCTGCCGCCGAGCCGCTCTTTGCGCCAAACCTCCAACTGCCGCTCCGTAGCCTTTCTGCCCTCCTGGCGATGCAACCCCCCCCCCGCCCGCGCGCTGAATAGTGTGGAACGACGACAAGCAAACACGGCACGGACGTGACACGGAAAGTCTTGCTGTTGTCTTTCAGGGCTTGTTTTACAAGCCGTGGTGCATCAGCTGGGGCGTGCCTGATTTCAGAAGCACCCCCCTCCAAAGCTTCAACCGTCCTTGGCACCCTGAACAATGTGCGGGCTGATGGGAGTTTCAAAGTATTCGTGGCCCATAGGCCATAGGCACTCCCAGCAACAAGTGCAACAAGAGCGGTTTACGACCTATTCGGACTCCGATCTGTGCTGAGTACCGTTACTCACCGTCCAAGCAAGAACAAATTGCAACATGCACCACCCTATCTAGATTCTAATTGGGAAGCCTCGCTATGGTGTCCACCCTCCAGCGGTACAAACCTCAAGGAAAGCCTCTTGATTCCACTAAGTTCAATTGGGCGCCTGGATTGGCCACAAAAAGTAGTCCCAAAACTGTTTGCTGACCACTAAAATGGTCCAACCCCCAGAAGTCCCAAAGTTTGCAAAACAAAAATCCATGACCTCAGGCAGTGAGTCTCCTGCGCATTCGACGGCCCCGGCACGCTCAGCGCCGCTCGCTGCCGCACCGCATGGCCCTCACGCAGCTGAGCGCCCAGCTGAGAGACGTAGGCCTCTAGGCGCCCCGACAGCGCCAGCGTGACGGGCTTGGAGCCCGGCTCCGACGAGGGTCCTGGACGCCGCTCCCCCGGGCGATGACCAAAGGAAACAAAGGACATCACACATAACTCAAGACACAGCACAACAAAAGGAACAAGAGAAGAACACAAACTGCGCAAGTGAATCCAAGAGAAGCAATATGTGTTTATTGGTTTGCTTTTTTAAAGAGTCTTCCCCCCCCCCCCTCAATTTCCAGTCCTTCCGCGCGCCCCTTCCGCGACGTCGTCCGTGGCGCGCACTTCAGCGCTGGAGACGTGGCCGCGAGGCGGCGCCAGGCGGCGGCTGCGGCCTCGTGGGCAGCGGCGCGGCGCTGGGCGGCCGCCAGCGCTCGCAGCGTGGCAGCCAGCAGCTGGCTGGCGGAGCCCTGCGTTTGAATTAGCCCAGGGGGCTCCCGGGGGTTTTCGGGCTACGTGGAATTAGTCTAGGGGTTGATTCCCCATTCTTTTCAACCGTCGTTCTTTTCAAAAACCAGCTATTTTCCCTGGGTTTCCGGAGGCTTGGAAAGGATCCCTGGTCCCTGGAAGGAATGGGGAAGATACCCCTAGAATTAGAGCTCCCTTTCCGACCTGAAATGGGTACCCAGAAATGATCAGCCTTCAATTGGCGGCTTGGATTGGTTTGGTGCTTTGCGAGTGGTGCCCCTGCACCTCGACCAGATCCAGGGACCTCTTCAGATCGAAATCCAAACCACCAGGCTGGGTACGTGAACACCAGACGCGGACATCGGCCTCGAAAAAACACGGCCCCGTTTCTTGTCAGGTCCCTCAGAAAAATGAGGGCCAGTTGGGTTTCGCCGAGATATATCTCCCACAAAAAAGGTCCCCCCCCCCCCTCCCTATCAGGGAGGGGCAAGGGGGGGGAGTTGACTTTTTGTCTGTGCTTTTCCGAAGTCGAGCCGACGTTTTTCCTTAAATCTATCACTTGGAGGAGTGACTTTGATGATGGCAACAGAAGGTAGCAGGCAAGTGCAACTCCATGCCACCACCCACCCCATCGCACTTGTTTGAAGGCCAAATGGCCAAACAAACCGCAGCTTTCAGGGAAGACATTCCCATAGTGCTTGGGTTTGACAGGCTAGGCGTAAAAGGAAGCGCCAAAGTCATGCCCAGGTGGCGCTGTGATGGTTGAACCCAGGTACAGATCCACCTTGCCAGGGGATCCTCTTTGATTTGCGCTGCTCTACCTGGAGGTGGGCCACCGCTTTTCAACACTACTACCTTCGCATTCCGCAAAACGTGACCAAAACGCAGCCACTTCCTCATTGAAGCCCACGGCCCCCTGCGCTGGCCCAGGGATGCACCTACCAACAGCTTTCTGGAAAAAGAGGTGCATTGCTCACGGCTGAATTTTGTGGAAGCCTCGACGCCGAACGCCCCAACAACACACACACACACACACCTGCACAAAGCCCGAGGAAACCTTGGCATATGATGTTCCATGCTTGCTTTCGGCATTTGCTCCGGCCTTGGTGGCTTCTTTGTCGGAATCTGGCAGCAGCGCCTGAAGAACGGAGGACGCCGAAGGCTGCCGGGAGACTTCGGCCGTGACTGCCGCGTGCACCTCCGCCGTCATTTCTTGCTCGCGGCTCCGTGAGTCGGCCAAGGCCTGTCGAAGGAGACGGGTTGCTTCGGAGTGGGTCAATCCCTGGTGGGGATAAAACCGAGAGGGAACCATCCGCAAGGGTGCAATAGTTCAACAACCTGCAGAGGTCTTCGAGTAAAGGCCCTTCACATAAATAAGCTTGCTGTGCTTCCAATTTTGAGGTGGCCGCAATTAGCAGAACCACCGGCATGTGAAAAAATAACGATTTTACCCCCCGTGAGGCTGCAAAAAACCTTACCAATGAACCAACAAGGGCCCGAGCCGGAATCGTGAATTGTTGGAAACAGGGAACCGCGCTCTTTGACAATTTGCTGGACCAAGCAAATAGGGTGGGATGGTGCTTCTAGACCAGCGGCCCAATGCACCTACCCAACTCCACCCTGCCAAATGCCTGCAATGGGTTGGAGCAAACAAAAACAAGTCAGCCACAACACACTACCTAAGCAACAGCAGCTCAAACTCAATTCTGCTGATGGGTTTCGATTCTGAGCTTCAATCCCGCATCGCGACTCATCACACTCGTCTATCAAATGGGAAGTGTCAAATGGGCCTCTGCTGGTGGACTCTGAACCGCCTCAATCATACTCAAGCCTGGGTTTGCCGATTGCAACTGACAGCTACTGCTAGGGCCTATCTCAAAGAGGGCGCGTGGGCTCTGGCCGTTAGGCCTCGGGACCATTTCTCATGGTTCCCCATGCAAAGCAGGTGCCTCCGACAGGTGCCGACAAGTCGTTGTCAAGTGCTCATTCACGACATCCTCGCTTCTCAGGTGGCTGCGAAGCTCGGCCACTTCCTGGCGGAAGTACGCCCAGCCCAGTCAACTGAGAGCATTACTGATACATGGGTGGGCTCGGCTCACGGGGGGACCACAAGGAAGCCAACAATCCGCGGGCTATGTTGAGGCAAACCCAAATGTTTGCTGCTCGCATTTTGCCGTTCAGTGGTCCTGGTTTGATCGGCTTTTGAAGGCTTGGCAGAACCCTGAAACAACAAGGGCCCAACCTCCCAGCTCGCCTAAAATTAAACCCGAAAGCAAAACCCAACAATAGTCAACAATTTGGAGTGGCAAAGGCCGGTCCTGCTGTAAGGTGCTCTGCTGATACGCCTCTTGGTGCAACCTCACCATAGCCGAAGCGTAGCGCGCTTGGTACACCTCCGCTTCTGCAGCTGCATCCTCCTTCCGGGGGGGTGGCCGCATGAACGCGTGGGTGTCTTCGCGGCGCGTGTGGGTTGCTTCTGAGATGCATGCATGCGTGCGTGCGCATGTGTGCGTGCGCGCGGGCGTGCGTGCAGGCGTGCGGGCGGGCGGGCAAGCAGGCGGGCGCGCACATGCGTGCGTGCGTGCGTGTGGGTGCGGGTGCACGCGATTAAATGCCAGCGTGCTTGCACCACGCGTCCAAGTGTCCCAATAAAGAAAAGGCCAAGGCCATGCGCTGAAATCCAAGAAGACACGTACCTAGTAAATCAAGATCAGACCTATACGAACAGCGTCTACGAGGGGTCGGGACCGTCTTGGGACCTTCTGTGTGGACTCAGGTCCTAACCAGGCGTGGGAACTAAAACTGTTCATTCGAGTGTGTGCGTGTGCCCGTAATGTGAATATGTGAATGTGTCCGTCCATGCGCCTGTTTTTGTGCGTCAATGACTGTGTCTTTGTGTTTGTCTCCATGCCCTGTGTCTCTGTGCGAGTGTGTGTGGTGCACGTCTGCATGGCGCTCACGCGTGACGCTCCCCCCCCGGCCCACGCCTCTTGAAGCTCCTCCAGAGACCTGGGCGCCCGATCTGCCTCTAGGGCGGCCTCTTCGGCTTGGATCGAAGCGCTCAGCTCCCCGATGGAGGAAAGCTGCAGCAGAATCTGGCCACCTCGCACTCTGCCGCAGAGCTGAACGCGTCGTACCAACAAAACGCTTGCCATGGAATGGGCAGGTGAACTTGGCTTGAGGGGGGAAGAACAATAATTGTTGCGCCCACGATGCCTCTCTTTATTCTATGTAGCATCGAGGGGATATTGTTAAGGGATGTTGTTCGCAGACAGTGCAGCAACTCGTACATTTTGGGGAACATAGTTTATAAACCTTTCTGGCCTGGGCTTTGGCGTTTGCATTTGCTTTAAGGCTTGGTTTCCGGAAACAGTTCAAGCTTCGTTCGCAATTCCTTTTGGGCTGTTGTCGGCTCCTCTCTGAGTTGGTTTCGGGGATGGTTTAGGCTTGCTTTAGGCAGTAAAATGCGCCAACAGCCAAAACCACAAATTTCACACAGAGACTCAGGCAATGGTGCGGCCGAGTAGCCCAGATCAGCTAGCCCTTGCGCCCATCGTTCGTCGTTGGGCAGGCACTGCAGGGACTTGCAGGCCGAGTGCAGTGATTCCCGGAGTCCTGGGTCGAGAAAGGCAATCAAACCTCAACCTGAGCAGAAAGCGTTGGGCCGAACTCAGATGCGGCAATCTGTGTCTCAGCTCCCCTGTTCCTACATGAGCTTGCATATGCATGCCTCTGGGCATCTGTGCACATCTCTGTGCCACGCTGTGCCACGTGTACAGCTGTGTCTCTGTGCATGTGCATGTGTGTGGGCAGGTGGGCAGGTGGGCAGGTTTGCAGGTGGGTGGGTGCGTGCGTGCACGCGTGCGTGTGTGGGTTGGCGGCCTGTCTGTGTAAAAGTCAACCGTTTCCGTGAATGATGATGGGTCCCCTGTTCCAGAAAGGACCCTCGCTGCCAACAAATGTGGGCTAACATGAGTTTCCAAACAATTCCAAACCTGAAAGTCGGGATCCCAAGCACGGAACTTGCATGGTAAAGGTTGTACTGTTGACCCCAGCTTAATGAACCGAGGAGCCCCCACCCCAATATGAATAAACAGGGGTTCCTGGTTTTGGTGGGGATCTATGACCTTGTTTTAAAAAAACTGGATCTATTCATCCGGGATCCAGCCGTCAAGACCGAGCCCAAGGGGCGCTTGGCCTCCTGGAGGGCCTCCAGCTCCTCCGACTCCTCCTCCGTCGCCTTCGCGCGGCGGGTCTCGCCCCCGCCCGCGCGGGCGTCCAGCTGCTGCCGCCAGCTCGAGGCGCGGCAGCCGCGTTGCTCCGCGCCGTCCAGGCGGTCCATGGCTTCTTTGACCATGAGCTGCGCCTTGGCCGGGCCATCAACGAGGTCTGGTTCTGCCTCTTTTGTTTGGGGGGGGGCTTCTGCGTTCTTGTTCTTCTTCCAACTGAAAAAGTAGCGCATTTAGGGGGGCAACTGGACAAAACACAGAAGGAACAAACATCTGCCATTGAACTTGGGCGCTCGTTCTAGATCTCGCTCCAGGACATGACATTCTGCTTGGAGTTGCACCTCCGCCACGTCGCTCTCGCCGTCAACGGGTCGTCTGGTTTTGGGCCTCCCGCCCTGCACACGGCAAGCGTGACTGCCAACTCCTTAGCAAAGTGGCGAGCAATGGCAGCTGCATTTCCTGGCAACCAGGCCGGCTAGGGTCATGCACCACCACCCTGACTTCAGGCACTAATGTTGACCTATGATTAATAAATAGGGGGCCCCCCCCCCCCCTGAATGACCATAAATAAAGATTAGGGGAGAATTTTCAGGGTCGGGCCTTGTTTAAAGGAGTTTAGTATTGGGCTCAGTTTTTTTGGTTTTCGAATACTACTTTAGAATTGGGCCAATTCAAAAGTAGTATTGGGCATGTTGTTTTTTCTTATTTTGCTTTGGGGGAATACTAGTTTAGAATTGGGCCAATTCTAAAGTAGTATTGAGCCAAGAACTTTTGCATGCATGAGGGTTTGCATGGGCTGGCATGCATTGAGGGATTGAGAAGGGAGGCATGCATTTGAGAAGGACATTCATGAGGGTTTGCATGGGCTGGCATGTATTCCAAGAGGGATTGAGAAGGACATTCATGAGGGTTTGCATGGGCAGGCATGCATTCTAGGAGGGATTGAGAAGGACATTCATGAGGGGTTGCATGGGCAGGCATGTATTCCAAGAGGGATTGAGAAGGACATTCATGAGGGTTTGCATGGGCAGGCATGTATTCCAAGAGGGATTGAGAAGGAAATTCATGAGGGTTTGCATGGGCTGGCATGCATTCTAGGAGGGATTGAGAAGGACATTCATGAGGGTTTGAGGCATGTATTCCAAGAGGGATTGAGAAGGACATTCATGAGGGTTTGCATGGGCAGGCATGTATTCCAAGAGGGATTGAGAAGGAAATTCATGAGGGTTTGCATGGGCAGGCATGCATTCTAGGAGGGATTGAGAAGGTGAGGGGTTGCATGGGCAGGCATGGCAGACAGGGATTTCATGAGGGTTTGCATGGGCAGCAGGTATTCCAAGAGGGATTGAGAAGGACATTCATGAGGGTTTGCATGGGCAGGCATGCATTCTAGGAGGGATTGAGAAGGACATTCATGAGGGTTGCATGAGGCATGTATTCCAAGAGGGATTGAGAAGGACATTCATGAGGGTTTGCATGGGCAGGCATGTATTCCATGAGCATGGGCTGGCATGCATTCTAGGAGGGATTGAAGGAAATTCATGAGGGTTTGCATGGGCAGGCATGCATTCTAGGAGGGATTGAGAAGGACATTCATGAGGGTTTGCATGGGCTGGCATGTATTCCAAGAGGGATTGAGAAGGACATTCATGAGGGTTTGCATGGGCAGGCATGCATTCTAGGGATTGAGAAGGACATTCATGAGGGTTTGCATGGGCAGGCATGTATTCCAAGAGGGATTGAGAAGGACATTCATGAGGGTTTGCATGGATTCAGCATGACATTCACAAGGGGAGGCATGGGTTTGCAGGCATTTCAGCAAGGGTTCAGTGAGCATTAGCTCGGCCAGCATTGCAGCCATGTCATCAGTGAGTGAGAATTCATGGCATGAACTTCATGAGTCAGATTTAGATTCAGGGCATGATGCAGATACAGAGCAGGCTGGGCAGGAGGATGCAGAGCAGGAGGATGAGAATGCAGCAGTTGATGAGGGTGCATCAGTCCAGCGTTATTGGGCCAACCAGTACACTGCATTAGTGGGCATGTCAAGGAGAATCAGGCATCATGTTGAAGTGCTTAATCTGATTGGTCAGTATTTGGGCATTGATGTTGCAGACACATACTGGTGCCTGCATTATGCAGGCAGTGTGTATCAGTTTGTCCAGCTGGAGAACCCTGCATATTCAGATGCATGGTGCATCTGGGGCTGGGTGATTGAGTATGCAGCAAAAGGCAGCTACTATTTTGTGGGTGATGAGATCAAGGAGCTTGAATGTCATGTTGGAGATGTGCCATCAGAACTTGCATCATCAGGCTCAGCACCAGCAGGATCAGACTCAGCACCATCAGGCTCAGGATTAAATTCAGATGCATCAACCACATCCTGTCAATTCCCTCAGCATCCTCATGAGATCAGGTTTGTAGATTAGTTAGGCTCAGTGCAATGGACATGGCAAGTGTATGACAGAAAAAGGGTTATGGTGGTGTGTGGTGGGTGGTGTGTGGTGGGTGGTGTGTGGTGGGTGGTGGTGGGTTGGTGGTGCCAGCACCATTCCCTTTCAGCCCTGGCCAAGCCCTGCTAGGATCAGATCTTCATCAGGTGCTGCATCCAAAGAAGGATGATGAGGCAAAGAAGCCAATTGGAGAAGGGAAGGATGAGGAAAAGAAAGATGAGTAAGCAATGAGTAGCTGCAACCCAGTGTTCTTAGCAGTTGGCATCAGGATTGAGTTGGAAAACATGAAGGTGCATGCGCTGTCATGAGTGGCATGGGGGCAGTGAGCATGGATTCACTTGGCATCATGTGCATCCAGCATGTGCATGAGCCATTCAATCATCAGCAGCCTTTTGCACCATCAGAGCTTGGAATCAGTTTGTATTTGGAGCCCATTAGCATGGCCATGAGCATGAAGAAGGTGATGGCATGCCTGGTTGCCATCATTGCAGTGGTATTTGGCATCATCAGTAGCTTGAATCAATTCATGGGGGACAAATTGACAATTGCTCATCACTGACAATTGTTAACTATCATGACTGAGGCCAGGGGATTGACATGGAGCACCATCAGTTGATCAATCAGGGAGTGCCTTGGCCACATGGGGCATGGCAATGCAGGGAAATTAGCATGGGTGGAGGGTGCACACAAATCAGGTGATGTACTGCTTCATGCTGTATGCATTGTGGAAGATGCATCAGTTTGTGGATCATGCAACTTGGAGTCATTAATTAGTTAAGTATGCAAATGTATTTGTTTTGCAATGGCATGCAGGTAGTCACATGAACATTGATGAACATTGTTCACTGCTCAGGCATGCAACATCAGCAACTCAGCCTGGACATGTGCAAGGAAAGCAGGGTTCATGGAGAAGCGTGCCTGTGCCAGCAATCAGATTCATGATTCATGGCATGGAGTTTGCTTGAACCAGGTGTATAGTGTGTGAATGCTTTAAATTCTTGATGAACTTCAGGCATGGACATCGCCTATGGAGGCTTCCATGATTTGCAAAGGCATGTGGCACAGGTGCTCAGAGAGCCTCTTGGCTGATGCAAGATAATTACATGAAGCATGATGATGAGCACATGAGGTGATAAGGAACTAGTTAGTCAGATGTCATCAGCTGTTACTCAGTTAATTACTGGGCTCAGGTATGATGATCAGATGGGGGATTCTGCCATATTGCTGGGCATGATCCAGGGATTGCGCCCTACATTTGCACCAGGGATGAGCAGAACCTTGCCAGCATTAGTTTCATTAGGCAATGCTAATTATCAGCAGGCAATGCAGCAGGGCAACCATTGCAACCAGCATGGCAACACATGATTGGCTTTATTCATTCCAGCCAAGGGGATTACTATGAGGCAGAATGGGATTTGGCAATTCGTGCAGCATTGCTGGATGCAAAGCTGCAGGCCCAGCAGCTTTGAGTAACTAATGAAATGACAGTTCATGAAGCAAAATTCTAATTAAGTTGCATGATGATTGGACTTGTTGTTTTCAACTAAGGTATCAGCAGCTGATTCGCAAGGTATGTGGGATGAAGGACTATGCGGCACATGATAAAGAGCAGTTCATCAGGAAGAATGCCAACAGGAAGGAATGGCAACAGGAGCAATTCCATCCAGAGCATTGGATTAATTAGTAGACAAATGATTACATGAGTGCTTGAAACTAGCAAGTGTTTGAGATGTGCTGAGGATCAGGATGCTGCTTCCATCATGGGCATGTGCCCCCCATGGAGCAAGCTCATCAAGGCATACCAGGCCATTGATGCCAGGATGCAGCAGCTGGTGTGCCTTGGAAGTTTCAATCCAGAATCAGCAATCAAAGAACTGTTAGCTTGTGAGTGCATGATGTGATATCCAAGTGCATCATTGATTAAGGAAGCTCTATGAGCACTACAATCAGCAAATGGATCAGTGGGAAATGGACATTCCATTGCAGCCCATGTGGTCATTCCAAAGGGAGATGACCAAGATCGACAAGATGTGCCTCAGCAAGCAAGCATTTGATGAGTTTGATGAATTATCAATCAACAGACCCAGCAAGCAATCAGCAGGATACATAGTTAACAAACATCAGCTCTTGACCATCAGCAAGCAACATACATGTGAATAGTGTGCAAATGAGGATCCAGGAAAGCGAGGATAAGAAAGGGAGCCTTGGAGAATTAGTTGAGTCAAGGTAGAAGTCATCAGCATCAATGTGCATGCACACTTTGGACTTAAGGCAGAAATGCATCAAGGGCATGTTCTAAGCCTGATGCAGCCAGGAAGATGTGACTTGACAGCACATGATGAATGCAAGTGCAATGGAAGGGGACATTGGTTACTTGTTTGGGTGTGCAATGCAAGGCGCCATTCATCAGCTGGTATGGCACAAGCGGGTAAGGCGCAGTGCCTTGCAAGCAATAGATGGGCAGTTGCATGGCCATCAGCAAGCATGCAGTTAATCAAGGGCAGTGGCAGCACAACTAGCCTACAATCCAAGGTGCTGGACCAGCTGCTGATGGCCTGGCATGAGGTTTTTGATCAGAGGCTATGAGCCCTGGAGCAAAAAGGATGCAAGGCATCATGAGTGATTCAGGGCATCATGTTTGGCACTCAAGGCATCATGAG